AACAAAGCTAAAACTCAGACCATGGATTTCACTTTGAAGAATTTTAACAACGACAATGAGTTAGTACTACACACATTAGGTATGCACTTAGATAGCCGTCTCTCATGGCATGAACACACTTATAATTGATTTCTAAACTCAACAAAAGCATTTTGGTTCCCGTAGCCTCCAAAACTCTGTTTCCCAACATACTTCGGCAGGCGTACTACAGCTATTTCCATACTCATATGACTTATGGAGTGTTATTGTGGGGTCACTCAGCCAGCTCAGATGTGTTTACTACAAATGGATCAGGATCATCTTGAACACGCTCTTTTGGAACGATTGTACGGAACAGTTTATTCATCTGGGTGTATCAACACTACCTTGTGTGTACATCCTAGAGTGCCTGTTAAATGTCAAAAAAAACGATAACTATGACAGGAACCTCAGGTTCCACAGCTATGATACTAGATACTGTAATGATATGCCATACCCTACAGTAGGTTCGTCAGATCCAAGGACGGGCATAAATATTACAGTATCAAGTTCTTTAATGCTCTTCCTGAGTAATAATAATAATAATAACGTTTATTTGCAGAGCAAAAAAACAAAGAGAAAGAAAAATAAGCAGACGAGCTGATCAAAGTACTAGCCTAACAAACAAAATTACAACAGAGGAGTTCTTAACCAAATTAATGTTAATAATAAATAAATAATAATTATAAACGTAAAAAAAATATGTATATAAAGAAATAAAAAATATAATTTAAAATATAATTTAACGAAAAAGGTCAAATCATTTTAGGCAGATTTAACAAAAAAAAAACATTTGAAATATAAAAAGGAAAGGAACAATATAAAGTAAACACTACAATTCATCTAACAGAAATTTTCTGTAACTTCTTTTAAAAGCTGACACAGACACAGACTTAAGGTTTGTGGGGACGTGATTGTACAAGTTGTAGATAAAATGAGAAAAACATCTAGTAAACATAGATGTACGATGACGTGGTTGGGGAATCAGCTTCCGATACCGAAAATTGATATTGTGAACATCACTTCGAAATGTAATCTTATTATATAAATAAGATGGAGTTTTATATAGAATCATTTTATGAAACAAAACTGCAAAGTGCAGATTTCTCCTAGCTTCCATATTTAGCCATCCTATTACAGGTATCTTATAAGAAATATGTTCAAATGTTTTTACTCCAAAAATAAACCTAAGACAAGAGTTTTGGACACGCTGTATACGATCAACATCATACCTTGTTATACAAAGCCCATAAACTGAGTCGCATTAATTGAATAATGACAGACCAAGCGTGTCACAAATCAAAGCCTTAAGTTATGCTTTGAAAACCTCAGGTCACTATCGATAATCAAGCCTAAATTCCTAGTAGCGGATGTATGAGGAATAACATTATTATTAATTGAAATATGGAATGAATCTGCCACGCTCTTTTTGTGTTTCCCGAACAATAAAACATTTGACTTGGTTGTATTTACGGATAACTGATGAGCTATGCTTTGATTTGTCAAATTACTAAGATCTTCATTTAATAATGTAACCGCAGTTGTTGTATCTGTATGAGAGAACGAAAATTTATCTGGGTATCATCAGCATATAAACAAGGCTTTGAATATACCAAACTACTAGTAATATGTGCAGAGTATACCGAAAAAAGTAATGGACCCAAGATAGAGTCTTGAGGTACCCCAAACAGCTTGGAAACAGACACCCCAGAAGAGGTTATGACAAACTGCGTCCTCTTCGAGAAATAACTTTTGAATAGTTTAATAGCATTAATGGAACATCCCATGTATTTTAAAATAGAAAACATTAACTGGTGATTAATTGAATCAAATGCCTTTGTGTAATCAAGCAACACAAGAGCCGCTGTATTGCCGTTATCAATATCCCTGATAATTTCGTCCGTAAAATCTAGAAGTGCTGTCGTGCAACTAAAACCCTTTCGAAACCCTGACTAAAATGAAAGCAAATCATATTCATCTATATGAAGCATTAACTGAAATTTTATAATTTTTTCCAGAACTTTAGACAGCACTGGTAATATAGAAATTGGACGAAGATCCAACAAGTTAGATATAGTGCCTTTCTTTGGCAGATGATGAACTTTTGCAACTTTCCAACAGTCTGGAAAAGTATTTTCTATTAGGCAATTAATAATATGCGTTAAGGCTGATAAAATGAACGGACAGCATAAAAGTAGCATTTCTATATTAATACCATCCGCCCCAGTTGCAAGAGTTTTTACCTCATAAAGATATTTGTAAACAATGGCTTCAGAAACAGGTTCAAATGAAAATAACCGATCAAAATCCTTACGGAAATTGCTATTGTAAAAGTGAAATTTTTCACGATCAGGACCAACATTGTTTGATGACGGGATCAGAAAATGCTTATTTATCTCATTCGGATCATCAAACTCTGCAGGTATATTTGGCGTTTTAGACTTGCCAGCAATATCTAGGCTTTTCAATTTCTTCCAGATAGCCTTTGAATTCCCTCGGCAGCTGTTAAACAAATACTTAAAATGATTTTTGTTCAGCCCTAACAGCACTGGTGGTGAGATTCCTCATTTGTTTATAATAATCCCAATGTTCCGGCAAACCGGTCCTTTTAAATTTTCGAAACGCCTTGTTACGAAGACATTAATTTAACATTGGCGGTTAACCATGGCGGCTTAAAATGTTTAAATTTGATCTCATTTAGTGGAGATAAAGTGTCAAAAATATTAAGTATAATACTATTGAAATATAGTACCTTTTCATTTATATTATTTATGAAAATTAAGTCAAGAAAAGGAGAAATTTGCAAGAATTCTTCTAGGATACCCTTACCTATATTTTTAAGGTTTCTAACATATTTACTACTCTCCGTTACAACACATTTCAAATTCAAAGTACAATACACCAATAAATGATCAGACACATCAACAATATCTATTGTTCCTTTGTCAGATACATTTAAATTATTTATTAGTGATACGAGTGGGCGAATCAACTAATTGAGATAAATTAAAAAGTTCAATACAGTTATGAAAGGCCTCAACTTGATTGTTCTGAAGGTTCAAACAATCAATATTGATGTCTCCACCAAAAATGATAGTACCAGAATTTAGACAAAGCCCAGTGAGATTTCCTTCAAGATTAAGTAGGAAGTCACGTAACATTTTTACTTGGTGGCCTATAAAGTGCGAAAAACTTGAAATTGTCTTTATTTATACAAAATTCTAACCAAATTTGTTCTACTGCTTCGCTATGGAGAATGTTTATTGTTTTACATTTTATATATTCTGATATGTAAATTCCTACACCACCGCCTCTACTCGCTCTATCTAATCTGAAAAATCTATAACCATTAATGTGAATACTAGAATTGGGAATCCCATTATGCAACCACGTCTCACAAACACCAACTATATCCAATTTCTTTTCTAACATAAACTGTTTAAATTCAAAGAAATTATTTGTGAGCGATCTTACATTAATAAAAGCAAATGATAAATCTTTCATAAAACGGTAATGGATTCAATAAAAAAAAGCACTAACAAATAGAATTGAACACTCATTTTTTTAAATTTCCTATGTCTGCTAAGGTTTTGATCCTCAATGCAACTTCGCCATCAGCCTTCCTGGCATAGATCTGGCCATTTCTGCACCAAACGTATTTAAACCCAGAAATCTTAGATAGAACAAACACCTTATAGTTGGGTTACCCCGTACCCAGTTTCAAAAAGACTTTTTTCATCAATATTCTGATTTCCTTTAATTCCTGTAATAATCACCCTTTTCTTTCTAGCTTTATCTTCATCTTTAGAAACCTTTTTCTTCAAAGTTACTACCTCCTTCTCCAGTTCAGCAACACGATTCTTAAGATGCTCTTGTGTTTTTCGAAACTCACGATTCTCATCCGATATAGCTTTTATTGCTCTTTGTATAGTTTCCATTATGTCTTTGTTACTGGGATTATCCATTGGTACGGGATCAGAAGCGTCTGACTGATCTGATGATGAAGAATGCCTGTTTCTACCACATCTGCCACACAACCACTTCTGATCAATCTTAAGCCAAAAATTGCTCGTCCGACAGCCCAGTACATGTCCTATGGTACCATCCACCGCACGTCCCAGCACATTTCAAACTATATTGCGTCTTAGTTATATTATTTCTACATTTACCACATTCACAGGTCTTGAACTTGCCTTTTGTCATATCTATCCAAATCGACCGGACTATAACACATGCTTCTAAATGAAATACCAGAAATAACTCTTTTTCATTCACTTTTTGTAGCCTGGTATACTTTTTATAAACGAGATGGCGTATATTTTATTCAAATTGCTGCAATTTTTCGCAAATAAATGCACATAACACAAATACTTCCGAAAACTTCACTCCTCGCACCACCAAGGGAGGCTTGTGAGAAAAGAAATAAATTAATCGCTGGTGTTACACCCATGAAATTTGAGAAATACCAGAGCACCTTTTAGAACGTGTTAACGTGCTACTCCCATATCAGTTATACTTTTTTACATTGCATCGTTCAAGACCACACTGTCATCATACCTAAAGCAGAAAGCTTTTTATAGCATTGAAACCTTTCTAGACAATGACTTTAGTGACATATTTTCATTATATTGTTTCTTTTTTATATATATTTTAGTGTGGTTCAAACTTGGCTGTATTTCTAACTTTTGAATGTGCCTGGTTTGTTTTATTTATTATTAATGCTGAGTGTGTACTTTTTTGTGCACTGTTAGCTTTTTTCTTTTGACGTATATGAGTGCTTTTGCATACCCAATATCAATAACGAATATAATCATTATTATTAAAATTGTCGAACTTTTGTTATTCGCAGACTGTACAACGATCTTAACTAGTCAGCAAAGACTACCCTCCTGCTATTATGAATCAAGTACTGCAGTGATTCATTTTCCATCTTTTGTGATAGGAAAAATTGCCCTGACTATATCAAATATGATTTTTCTTACTTGTTTCGAATGACTTTTTCAACTTGGATATGTCCGACGCAGAACCTGACACTCTGTATATTCCTACTTCAGCCATTCCTCTCCTTTCTACTTCTCTTATACAGGCAGTCACGATGAATGGTACATTCCTTTTCTGTCTCCTGAAATAAATTAGCCATAGTCAAATAGATTGTAAATGTAAACCAGAATAACACAGCTTTTGCATGGACAGTTGCAGAGATAGCAAACCAATGGTCATTTCAGATACATAGGTGTATAGTTACAAAATCTATACAAAACCTGCAGAAAATTCGATGAGATTTTTGAGTTCTCGCAATTAAAGTTCCAAAACTGCATTCTTTCCACATTTTCGCTTACACGTAGAACATACTGTATTCTATGGAAAATTAGGGCAATCTTTTTGTAGTGCATTGAAAAACTTTCAAAATGGAGGTTAAAACTAATTTTTTTTCTTATTATTAGGTAAGCAATGAAAGCTACAAAATCCAAGAAGACATTTAATTATTTCCTGAGGAGGTAGAGTTTTTGCTGCTTAAGATTAGTACAAACATCTTGATTGATACATGTAAAAGTTTTTGTAAATTTGTAATTGATTATAAGAATCAAGATACAAAGCTTTTTTTTCAATAAAGAGGAAAATTTGTTATATGATACTATTGTATTGCACGCAAAAAAATATAATCTTTAGTACCGCTAAATCCCGTCATAAAAGTGCTCTCATTTTTACTTTATAAACAAATTGTTATTCAATTATTATGCTGCAGTTGATTGTAGATGGATTGTATGAACTGTTACTATACAGGGTGTTCCAGAAGTCAACGTCAAGCCGGAAACCTTGCTGGTACTACATGTCTCTGTAAATGCTTAGTGGTTCATCTTCCAATAGGTTTGGTAAATGATTTTGTAAAAAGTCTATATAAATTTCGCCATTCAAGAACTCTGGCAGCTCAAAGGGCATAATTTAGAATCCCTGTCCACATGTTTACCATGTTTACTTTAAAATGATACTGTGATCTATATTGTATCATCAAATGTGGAATGTCTACTTTTGGGAACTCTGCTTGCTTCTATTTGACGTATTGAAGTACTTGATCTTTTTCGACTGCTTATAGTACGACGTCCTCGTAAGAAAGGAAATTCTTCCTTCACCATGTGCTTGATTTGGGTATCGTCCCTCTGACAGTAAACGGTGCATATTCACAAAAGCTTGATCACTATGACGAGCAGCATTTGGGTATCTCTCACGATAAAGCTATAGCACTTGCATTGCATTTGAATATCTCTCACGATAAAGCTATAGCACTTGCATTGCATCTACAGTAATGGACAAAAGTATATAGACAAATTAATATTGTGCTGTATTTCTTTTTTAACTTGTTTTATTAATACACCAACCTGTATACATAATTCGTTTGTCCACTAGAACGTCTAACGTAATGAACACCATCTGATCCAAACATATTGAAGTTGAATTCGTCACTGAAACATACCCTCTTCCAGTCACAGATGCTCCAATCAAGATGCAACCGTGCAAATTGTAATCGGTCCTTACGGTTTTTCCTCGAGATTAGCGGATTCTCACTCGGGCGACGTGCAAATAACTTCAAATCATTTAATCTTCTACTTATAGTTTTCAGAAACACTGAAAATTCCTTTTGTCTCGATTTCGGCTTTTATTTGTCTTGGGGTTTTAAACGGATCTTTGGACGAAATTACTTTTATTAATCTAACTGATCTAGCATTTAGTTTTCTAGGCCGACCACTTCTCTTAGAGGCTTCCAAGATACCTTTTTGTTTATATTTTTCAATATTGCCCAAACTGCTTTACACTTCAGCTTCAAATTTTTGGCAATGTTGGCTTGACGTTGACCATCTTTGTATAACTCAATGATCTTAGTTTTCACATCGAAAGAAATTTCTGGACCACGCGGCATGGTCTTAAAATCACTCAACTTATTCCACAATACTTGATGAACAAAAACTAATCCTCTTCTGACACGAAACTGTACTAAACTAATGTTGAAAAGAATTTGTCTACATATTTTTGTCCCTTATAAAAAAGTGCTTATATTCAGACTTGTATTGTGTTCATTGCAGATAATGTAAAAACAAGTAATTTAGTTTTTCTACTAATAACGCATTTGTTTATGGAGCAATGAAGTATGAATTCGTTTTCTAAAGGTATTTAGGTAAATAGTCATATTTGTCTATATACTTTTGTCCATTACTGTACATTCCCTGTGAATGATGTGCATGATGGAGTATTCCTGTACGGTATACACAGACATAACGGCACTACACAATCATGAATTAATAAAACTGGCGTTATTATCAGTCTTGCTGTCATTACGCAGAATGGCACTGACCGTCACCATGTCTATGAAAAAATTGAAAGGACCTGGCAACGCACCAATGGGGAAAAGTGGTTTCGGATAATTTCGCTTAATATTTATATGCCATGCGTCTTGGCATCCCGAACAACTGTTTCAATGGGCACAGGACCCCAACCTCAACAGGTCCCAAGATATAGGCCGTAAAAGTCAGTATAATGGATTATCAGCCCTACTGGAATATCTGTTGTAAGTGGAAGAGTGATATCGGTTAATTTGGCTAACTTTTTTAGATGTTATGTATCTCGGTATCCTGAACATAAGCCTAATAGGCACAGGCCCTAAAACCCAACGGGCACCAAGATATATGCCACTACTAAGTCATCTACTCTACTTGGAAGAGTGCTTTTGGTTAAAATTACTGAATTTGTGAAATGCTTTGTGTGTTTGTATCCTAAACACATGTTCCAAACGGAACACGCCCAAAAACTCAACGGGTCCCAAGATTGATATACAGTCAGACCGTCGGACTGTATACATCGCACCGATTAGTGGGTCGATGGCAGAGCCTCTTTATTAGAGAAAACGATCAGAAATTTCATTGTGGCTATATCTGACATAGTGCATGGGGTGCAGTATCTTGATTCGTAAAATTTGCCTCAATTACTGATTTACCTCGTAGTGTTCTTACTTATAGTGGTCATAATAATTTTTTTGTATTGTTACCAGTTGTCTGCTAGAAAAACCTACCCAACAAACACTGTGGTATTTTTGGTATTTTGTTGGAATTTTTGCATATAGTTCAGGCAATTAGGTCCATGCTAGAGTCATGGCACCTGTCGTGGATGTATGCAAAGTATGTAGTGATAACTTTATAGTGTGCACGAAAATAGTAAAGTATGGCCTCTGGAAGTTGAAATTCCATACGTCATGCGTGTCTGTGAGAGACAACTGGTTAAAAATCTGTTCAGAATGCGAAAATATATTTTGGCTTTGCGACGATTGTAATGGCTTCTTGTCAGTGAGTAATGAGACAAAACCTGATATAACAATATTGAGAAAAGAGTTGGAAAGCGTCAATCGAGAACTGGATTCAACTAAAAAACTTTTGCCTAATCTCGAATACACTGTACAGTTGCAAAAATCCCTGCTTAAGTCGTAGGAAGAACGTGAACCTGCAAAATCTCAAGCATGTGTTAGTAGCCAGGTTAGATGACATAAAATCATCTGTCAATTTGGCCAGCATAAATATATGTGTAAATAATACACGTAAAATCCGTTGCGGTTCATTGTAAAGATGATGCATCTTTAAACTTATTGAAAACTAGTTTTGGTGCAAAGTTGGCATCGAAATATACAATATCTGAGGCCAAGAAATTAAATCCAAGGTTAATAATCAAAAATGTTAATTTGGATGGTATTGATTCGCCAGATGATATCACGAATACAGTTACCCTGAATAATTTAACTGTTACGCAAAAATCTCAGATTAAATTTATCACTAAACTTAGACTCAAGAGCGGAACTAGTGTTGTCATTGAAGTGACACCTGATTTAAGAAAGACCATGTTACAGATAGGGTCGTTGTTCATTGGTTGGTAAAAGTGTTTCATTTCTGACCATTTGCGCTTGATGAAATGTTACAAGTGTTCGGCGTTACAGAAGCTACTTGCAAATCAGAGCTTACATGTCCTAGATGCTGCAGAAAACACAAACTCAAGAAGTGCAAGTCGGAGGCGCTACAATGCAGTAGCTGTTTGAATCATAACAAGTCACATAAAAAAAGCTTGCCCACAGATCATTCTGCTAACTTTCCTGGATCTCCTGTTTACCAAGGTAATGTTGACAATTTGAAGCAGCGCGTGGACCATGGGTAGTAATAAAGATGATGTTTTAAAAATTTACCATCACAATGTTCGATCCCTCACAGTTTATTTTAATGAATTTTCTTTGCTGGTAAAAGATCAATTCGATATTATAGCTGTGTCTGAAACTTGGCTTTCAGACAATATACCAGATAATCTCATTAGTATGCAGGACTATAATTTCTTTCGCCAAATATATAATTGGCAGATGTGTGGGGTTGGCATATACGCAAAGGCTAATTTGAGATTTAGTGCTGTCAATATCGATTTTTTGGGTAACAGTACGCTGGAATTATTGTATTGTAAATGTAGAATCGATTCCATAAGCCTGCTTGTTGCGGTACTTGATAGACCTCTTCACTGTTCTACCAATGATTGTATAAACCACTCAGACAATCTTGTTTCTTTCTTTATGCCTCAACATGGTGACACTGTTCTTCTTGGAGACATGAATAATAGGCTGGAGCGAAAAAAAAAAATTATAATTTCATGAAGCCTATGCGACGAAAAGTTGCCTTTTGCCCGCAGCAGTCCCTAAAAAAAATCTGGGCTCAATTATCCTAAAACTTCTACTGCCCAAACAGCTTTGATTATTGGCATTTTCCCAATATTTTGAAAATATATATTATTTTGTATTATTGTCACTAATATCTTGTTATCTATATGAATAACTGAATATCTACGTAAAGAAGTATAATAAAACACTCATAGACCTTGATAATATCCCGACCTTGAAAAATACTATTCTTTGACGCCACGTCACAAGACGCTCCGGCGCGCCTCGGCGCCAACGAGGCAGACTTGATTCCAGGAACGCTCTAAACAAATCGTCTGTGCTCGTAGACCGCGTAGACACACGAATGGTCTACTGACGGATTCATATTGTCGAGTCATAGTTTTAGCTGTCTGGTAGCATTAGAGCAGTTCGCTACTCGGGTCATTGCGCTCGTATGCAAAACAATGTCTTTTACGCGACGTAATTCATTGTGCCCTGTGTTTGGTGTACCAAAACCATTTAAGAACAATGTGTTGCCGACTTATGCGGATATTATAAAATATTATTTGTATCTTCGACAGGAACTTGTGCAACAAAACAAACAAAGACCTAGTTTTGCTGGTGATGTGTGTTCCGTTTTAATAAAAGACTTGAAAAGCTTGTGGCAAAGAAGTTCCATTTGTGTGATATCAGACCAACAAATATTACATAAAATTCGAGAATACCACAGTAAATATCGTAATATTATGAAACGATTAAAAAAGAACGGTAAACTTGATAATTCAAAACATGTCGTTTTGTTTAGAGATTCGGCTGAGAAAAAACTCTTTGATATATCGCTATGCAAGTGTAAAGACTTTTCAAACTGTTCTTGTGCATCAAAAGTGCCTGTAATTGAACGTAAATTTCTAACAGACCAGAGAACCTCGCGAAAAATGGTAATTGGAACAGTTGATAAAAAAACTACAAAAGTACTCGAAAAGCGATGGAAGCGTAAAAATAAAACAGAAGAACATAAGATTAGTCATGATGATGAATACAAAAAATGTGAAGCAAACAGACCATACCAATTAGTTCCAGCTACTCTAGGAGAAGAGGCTTCAAGCAGCAATTCCTCAGAAGAAAACGCTATTAAACCAGAAGATAGGCTCGATAGTCTCAATACTCCTTCAACTTCTCAGATGAGAATAAAACTACCAAGTGTAGCACTGGCATGTGACAGAACGGGTGTTTAGATAGATATGGGAATAGTTACTACAATGGACTCATCAAAAATTGTCGATCGCAGCAAAATTCGAAGAGAAAGGGCAAAAGTTCGAGTTAACCTAAAGAGAAAAGACGAGAGAAGAAAAGAAGTGTATGGAATATATTTTGACGGAAGAAAAGATCAAACATTAGTTCAAACTAGTAAAGAAGGAATTTCGTCCAAGAAAACGAAGATTGAGGTGCATATAGTTTTAGTTTCAGAACTAGGATCTAAATACATTGGACATTTCACTCCTGAATCTGGCAATTCGCTTAGTATTAAAAGAGGCATTCTAGATTTTCTGGAACCTAATTTTGATGTTTCTAACTTGTTAGTTATAGGTTGTGATGGTAAGGCAGTAAATACTGGATCTAAGAATGGAATTATTAGACAACTTGAGGTTTCGCTGAATCGATCTCTGCAATGGTTTGTTTGCCTACTGCATGCAAATGAACTACCTTTAAGACATTTATTGCAACATCTAGACGGGAAAACAACTGGTCCAAAAGGATTCAGTGGCGAGATAGGAAAGCAATTAGAAAAATGTGAAATCTTAGAGCCTACAAATTTTAAACCAATAGAAATTAGTTTGCCTGAAATCACTGCTGATAAACTTAGCTCCGACCAACAGTATCTTTATGAAATTTGTAATGCTATTTCAAAAGGGAACATCTCTTTGAACTTGTCAAAAAGGAACCCAGGTAAAATGGCTCATTCCAGATGGCTTACGACCGCAAACAGGATTTTACGATTATATGTCTCCACAGCGAAACCATCACAGAATCTAATTATTCTAACAGAATATGTCATGAAAGTGTATGCCACCACATGGTTTGCAATCAAAAGCCAACCATCATGTCGACATGGGAGTAAGCATCTATTTGGTATGATAGAAAAATCTAGGTTTTTACCAGAAGACTTAAGAAAAATCATAGATCCAGTTATACAAAGGAACGGTTATTTTGGTCATCCTGAAAATTTATTATTGGCCATGTTGGCTGACACTCGCAAAACAGTGAGAGAATTAGGTCTCAGAAGATTGTTGAAATGTAGAAAAATAGCAAACCAACAAGAAATACGAGAGTTCAAACTGTCAGCTTTAAAGTTTGATGCTGAAGATTACATAGATATCATTGATTGGCAGTCGACAACAATAACCGAACCTCCCTTAACAAAATATATTTCCAATGAAGAACTAGAAGAAATGATCCTAGATGTTCCAGAGGAAATTGAACTTTTGAAATATCCATGCCACACGCAAGCAGTGGAAAGGTGTGTAAAATTAGTAACCGAGGCGTCAGTTGCTGTGTGTGGAAATATAGCAAGGGATGGATTTATAAGAGCAAGAATTGCTTCTAGAGCTAGTTTGCCAGTATTCGAAACCAAAAGTCAATACCTTCAAGTTTTTAACGTAAATTAGTCGTAGTAATATATATATATATAATTATATATAAGGGTGGGAGGGCGGTGGAACTCGATATGCAGCTACCTCCACGCGGTGAGTTCTGGGTTATTTACATCAAAAATGCATCAATGTGATACTTTTGATGTAAATAAGCGAAGAGCTGCATCACAGCAATAAAAAAAAATTGCATGAACTTTTGAAACTTCAAAGTCAAATGGGCAGTAGAAGATGTCAGTATTTTGAGCCACGTTTTTTCTCTAGAATATACCCTTATATTAGGCAACTTTTCCACGCATAGGCTTATTGATTTAGAGAATTTCTTTTTTTCATGCCATTTTCACTACACCCTAATGAATAATGATATGTTGGATACCACTAATGCACTGAGCAGTTGTCTTGATTTTTATGATTTCAGACAGGTCATCGATGAGCCTACTCGTATTTCTCGTTTTAGTTCTACTTTAATTGATGTCATATTTGTAAATAATATCGAAAGTGTTTTTAACTGTGGTACCTTAAATGCAGATCTGATATCTAACCACAAACTAGTATTTTATGAGTTAAATATAAAAACCGTTCCATCCGAGGAAAAATTGATAACCTATAGGGATTTTAAGAACATTCGACGTAATTCAAGCAGGATTTGGCTGCAGTTGGCTTAGAAGAAATGCTATATATTACTGATATTAACTCCAAAATTCTAAACCTTTCTGGGGTGTTTATTGAGATTTTTAACTTTCATGCTGCTATTCGGATAGCTCGTGTCACCAAAAGAGGTGCTCTATGGTTAACTTTTGCACTTGAGGTCATTCTTAAGGTGGCTTAAGGCTTTAATTAAATTTCGTCACAATCCATCAGATGGAAATTTAACATCGTATAAAGAGTCAAGAAATTATTCACTTTCTTCAATCTGGCGTGAGAAAAAAACATGTTTATCTCGCTTTGATAGTCTCAATTCTAGAAAAGCTTGGGCTCAGCTAGAGTAATGAATATTTGTCCCCAGAAACACATTGAAATACCCTATGATCTATTAGACCCTAATAAAGTCAATAACCACTTCATGTTAAACTACTAAAATCTTAATATTAATTATCGTTTGATTGAGAGTACAGTAGAGTTTTATGAGAACATCTTTTACAGGCAAGATGTAACTCTATTTACATTTAGAATGATGACCGCTGAAGAAATTTTGGACAGTTACCTCTGACAAGTCACCTGCTACAGGGAGTGATGAAATGAACTTGAACATGCTAGGTTACTGCTTACCTGAAATTTTATTGTATTTAACACATATTATCAATATATGCCTTGAGACCGGAACTTTTCCTGAGGCTTGGAAGGAAGCTATTATCATCCCTTTAGCCAAAGTGAAAAATTCAACCACTCATAATCATTTGCGGCCTGTTAGTTTGTTGTGCTTTTGTTCGAAGGTATTAGAGAAAGTAGTGTACATTCAACTAGTGGAATATTTAGAGCAAAATAACTTGTTTCCCCCTCATCAATCAGGATTTCGTGCGAACCATAGCACTACTTCAGCTTTGCTCCATCTAACTGACAATAATATAGGTAACTTAGGCATACATATTAATACCATATTAGTGATGACTGATTCAAAAGCGTTTGATACAGTTAATCTCAAAATCATGTTGAGCAAGCTGCAGTACATTGAACTATCTGATATTCTGCTAAGATTTTTCCAAAGCTACTTGGCTGATAAAAAACAGGTAGTTAAGACGGTTAGGGGCGTGTCTTCTAGTACTGTAGTTTCGTCTGGCGTTCCGCAGGGGTCAGTATTTAATTTACACTATAGACTTAGTATCATGTGTGGAATTTTGTTCTATAGAAACGTATGCTGATGACACACAATTATCATTTCACTTCAAAAATTCTCAGTTTAATGAAGTGTCGTTTAAAATTAATACTGACCTAATCAATATTCAGGGTCAGTTGGATGTCATTTATACTGACACTCAAAAGGCCTTTGATCAGCTAGATCATTACTTGCTTCTTTCTAAGCTTGAAATGATTGGGTTGTCTAAATCTTTATTGAAGTTGATCAGCTCATATTTATTTGATAGAAATCTGTACATTGAGTTAGGTGGTTTTAAACCTAATTCTTACACAACAACATCTGGCGTGCCCCAAGGATCCAATTTGGGTCCTTTATTTTTGTGTTGTTTATCAATGATCTGTCCCTGGAATTGCCTGGTATGCATTTACTTTATGCTGATGGCTTAAAAATGTATACTGCTATTCAGAGCTATCACGACTGTATCTCTCTTCAAAACAGCTTGAACTTGATGGATTCTTGGTGTTCCAGAAACTCTCTTACGATTAATGTATCAAAGTGTAAAGTTCTGTCTTTTAGTAGGAAGCAAAATGTAATACATTATGATTATAGTATCAATGATCACTTACTCGAAAGAACAGAAACGTTCAAAGATTTGGGTGTTGTATTCGATGCCAAGCTGACATTCAAGGATCTCATCACTTAAATGGTGAATTCAGCGTTTAAGATGCTAGGCTTTTTTGTAAGGAATTGGTCAGGGTTTTCAAACATATCAACTCTAAAGCTTTTATATTTTACAGTTATTTGAAGTAAGCTGGAATACGCTTCATTAATTTGGTCTCCAATCTACAACAATTCAAGGGTTAGTATTGAATATGTGCTTTAAAGTATTTGTATTACAAATGTTATGGCAATTATCCTGAAAGAGGTTTCGACCATTCTATGTTATTAAACATTTTTGATATAGAGTCACTGCATCTTAGACGCGACATATCAGCGCTACATCTTTTTTACAAAATCATACACAATCAAGTTGATTGTTCATTCATATTCAGTAAGTTTAATTTTCCTGTGCCTAGGTTGGGAAATCGTGCTCAAATTACTGTCTATCCGGTTATTGGTAATACTAATTTATTGTCTAGATCTCCGGTAAATATGATTTGTACATGTTTCAATTCCGTTTGCAATTCCAGTGACTTATTTTTTGATAGTGAGAACTTTGTTGTGAAGTGCTACAGAGACTGGTACCTTTGTCAGTGAGAGTTTGTTTTTTCTTTTTTTTAATTTTTTTTTGTGTTTCGCGTTACCGCTGTTGCTAATTATGTAACTTTTTCTTGTATTTTTTCTGTAATTGGGTGTTACCTGTTGGGAATAAATAAATAAAATAAAAATTACGGATTTTTGTAAAAAGCAGTGCCTCAAGATCAATCCTGAAAAGAGTTGAAGTATGCTTTTTTCTCCGAAACACATGTATAATAACATAAAGGACGCAATTGTACTCATTATAAATAACGAGCGCATCCCCATGATAGAACATTCTAAAAACCTGGGTGTTAGCTTAGACTCTAAGTTGAAGTTTGATAGACACATCGGTTATCTGTCTCAAAAAACGTATGCTAATTTAAAACTTTTATACTCCAACCGGTTCATTTTAAACTTTAAGACTAGGAAAAAATTACTTGAAAGCTTGATTCTGTCATCTCTGCAACATTCTCTGATTTTATTCTATTCTTATTTGGATTCGTCGGATCGGTACAGGTTACAAAAAATTCAAAACAACTGATGCAGGTTTGTGTTTGGACTCGTAAATATAGTCTAGTCTCTTCGAAGATTATAGATTTAAATAGGTTGAAGATGGCATCAAAGTTTGTCAATGCTATGAAGGTGTTTTTGTGTTTAGAAAAGCTGGTACCACGAGGTAACATTAATCAGAGAAATCTCAGACACAACCTAAATTTTGCGATGCCTGTCCACTACACAGCCCTTTTCCAGAAAAGCTTCACATTTCATGCTGTCAAGTTATACAGTTCTACAGATGAAATGTATCGCAGTAAAACAATAGTTCCTTTCAGGAAGCTCGTTAAGAAACAGCTGATGGGATAGTTCAAGTGTGCATTTGTTAATTTTTTTTCTTTTTTCTGTTTCATATTATTCTCTTGGCTGGTGTGTGAGTATTGTAAACATGTTATCTGTCCACTTCATTTACTTACTTTTCTTTTTCTTATTATTATTATTACTGTTTGTTTGTGTATTGAGTTTAGTTATGTTAATTTTTGCACACAGTGAGGTTAAGTGTAAGAGTAGACCTTTGGCTAAACTTCGCCTCACTGATGTATGTGTATTAATAAAGACATTGATTATTATTATTATATAGACTGCCCAAGTCAGTATAACTAGATATGTGTTCTACTCAGATATCTGCTCTACTTGGATAAGATGTTTCACTTAATTTCACTGAATCTGTGATATGCCGCGTGTCTTGGCGTCCTGAATAGATGTATTGATGGACACAAAGCTCAAACCTCAACGGATGCTAAGAAAGCAATATAGAGGGTTAATGGTTATATTCAGACTAGTAGCCACGATAACCTTTTCTCTAATCATTCAAACTTTCAATTCTCCTATTTCAGCGCCATTGCCACTGTCATCGCTCTTGTTGAGTAGTAGCCGGTTAGCAGATAGACAGATTCGGCGGCCTACCTGTTACGAAATAATCTTCATCGAGTCTAATTCCTCCAACCTCAATGGAAAAGGGGTGTGATTCCAATTGTTTGTGCCCTTTATGAAACTTGTTCAGGATGCCGAGATACATACATGAGATTTCAACAATTCAGTCACGTTAACCGAAGCCACTCTTCTAGATAGAGCTGATAGCTGCGTAAATCCGACACCCCATTACACCTACTTGAACGGCCTGCATCATAGGATCTGTTGAGTTTTGGGGCCTGTGCCAAATAAGGCATTTGTTCAGGACGCCGAGACACATAACATATGAAAAATTTAGCGAAATTAACCTAAACCACTCTTCCACCTAAAGCAGATATTCGAGTAGAACAGTAACCCCATTATACTGACTTGGACGGCCTGTATTTTGGGACCGGTTGAGTTTTGGAGCCTGTGCTCATCAAAGAATTTGTTCAGAACGCCGAGACACATAACATATACAAAATTCAGCGAAACTGACCGAAACCACTCTTCCGCTTGAAGCAAATAATCGAGTAGGGCCGATACCCCATAATACCGACTTGGACGGCCTATATCTTGGGATCCGTTGAGATTGGGGGTCTGTGTCCATTGAAACATTTGTTCGGGATGCCAAGACGCATAACATATATTCAGCGAAATTAACCGATACCACTTTTCCCATAGGCGTGTTGCCGGATCCTTTGTGGTAATGGGAACTAAAAGATTATCACAGTGTGTAGATTTTTTCGACTCTTCCGATTTTTTAAAGCCTATATTTTTTTCTGATAACTATTATGACTTGGCGTATCCTCCGTCGACTTTCGGGACACTCTGTATACCTATAGTATCTGAAACAACTATTGGTTTGCTGTTTTTGCAACACAAAGAAAGATAAAAAGATGTAAAATCCACCTACTTGCAAACGGCCTGTATTTTCTCGCCAAACAGCGCTCCAACTTTCCCCGTGGGTACCCTCCTTAAGCTAACTTCACATGGCACAAACTTCAAGCCCATCCTCAACGTACACCCAGCAATGGACAGGCTCTTCTCCGTGATCCTATCAGACAGCCACTTCCTGCTCAGTTTCTGCGTGTGCTTTCCGAAGAGGACAGGCTGGGCACCACCGCTGTCTCTGTATACCAACACGCGCAGGTTTTCACACCCCTCCAGATCGATGGCGAAGGTCTCGTTCCACTGGGGGTGAGTCGTACTGCAGACGGTCTTCGTTTTCGCTTTTTGGAAAAAGTGGCCATAGAAGTCCACCTCGATGCAGATGTAGAGGTCTGGAAAGAGAATAATTTCTACTAATATGTCTCCCAAAAATATAGAATAAATCAGGAAATGATGTTACACTACTCAAAATTTAGGGAACAAATTTTTGGGTGATTTTTGACAGGCTGTATTTTGGTGAAAAATGGTCATATCTAGACTTTAAAAAAGCATTCTGAAGCTTTAGGATTATAGTTTTTAGGTTTTTTGCTCGAAAAATTTTAGGAGCAACAATTCTCATGGAATTCTAACAGCATAAGACAAAGATTTTGCAATTTTGGCAGCCCGTTTATTCAGCTTCAATAAACTGTTTTTAAAATCTCGATATGATCATTTGGCGCGAATATATCTGGTAAGGGCATTTCCGGAAACTGGAATAACCCTCCTATAAAATTTGATTGCAATCTTTGAGGATTTTCTTTTGTTTCCTTAGTGCTGATTTTAAAAAAGTAAAAAAAACAATACTGTTTACTGTCTTGCATTTTTGGGATTGCTAACGAGAAGGCTAATGCTTTTTTTATACCTTAATGTAAACCTAATAACCCTGCACGACGGTAGATCGATCAATTGTACGGTTTCTCCGGACCGACTGATCAATATTTGGATGAAATCAAAGGAGCAAAATGATAACATCAATCTTTTTGAAAATGGACAAACCATTTTTTTATTTTGTTGTCACTATTGGATATCTGTAACACCTAAAATTTAAAAAAAAGCAATAGGAATAATTTCATTCTATTATTCACGGAATATTAAAAAAAATACTGACTAGGGGCGGATCTAGATAATATTTTTTGGGAGGTCTCAAAGGCGGCATAAGAATTCGATCCGGATCCCGAAAAACCGTACAATGAACCGATTTGCCATAGTGCAGGGTGATTAGGGGTAGATTGAGGTATAAATAAAACTAAAAACATTACACTTTTTATTAGCAGTCCCACAAATGCGGTCGATTTTCCAAAATATTCTTTTGCCTTTTTAAAATCAACACTAAGTGCCGTATCGTCAGTCGTTCCTACCTTTATGGTCTTAATTTTCATAGGTTTCTACTACTCCATGTCAGCGCTGTATTCTGAGGTTATGTAAAAAATATCTATTCGCATAAAATTGTTCATGCTCCTGATTTATATTATGTTTTATCAGCCTGAAATTTCCTACGATTCAAAAATAAAACATAACCTTACAATAGAAGAGCGCTGACACGGAACAGGTGAAATCTAGAAATAACCCAACCTTTCTAAAGGAGAGGAAAGACTATGACGATCAAGAAGGCCATAAAGGAGTCCTACAATTGTAGGAACGATTGACGATACGGCCCTAAGGAAACAAAAAAACAATTCTCAAAGATTACAATCAAATCTTACATGAGGTTTATTCCAGTTTTCGGAAATACCCTTACATTCTCTGTGCGAGTATTGGTTACCGAGATATCAGTGGTCGATGACAAAATGATACCTTTTTCGTTCACAGTCAGATATCTTCGCGCCAAATGATCGTATTGAGATTTCAAAAACAGGATATTAAAGCTGAATAAACGGGATATCTGATCCATCTGATGGCCTAACGTAAAACATTTTTTCAAGGCCGGACTAACAGGAAGGCAAAAGTTTTGCAAAAACATTTTCTTGCGCTGTCAGAACCGCTGGTTAAGATTTTTCTGCTAAAAAACCTAAAAACCAGAATCTTGAAGCTTCAAAATGCTTTTTTTAGAGTCGAGACACGATCATTTTTCACCGAAATACAGCCTGCCAAGAATCACCGAAAAATTAGAATTTCCACCTTTGTCCATTAATTTTTTTTTGAATAGTGTATTTGCTAATCAAAATAAAAAACCCCTGACCTTCAAGTGAATCGCGTTTCGATACTGCAAAGCAGCACTAAATATCAAGGCCAATACAGCCAAGACTTTTGATTAATACAACGCACTCAGATCGGTTCATCTATGACTTTCTGTCATCAGTGTATTTCCAGACCTAACGCCTTATTAACTATAAGTCAAAAGAAATACATCAAAGCAATTGTATATGAGTTGACCCACGTGAAACAAAGTTTATTTAAAAAAAATGTTGAGTTACATTTTCTTATGATATATAAAAAAGAAACGATGTATGAAATATTCCCAACATCGCTACGGAAATTTTCGTCATCCCGTGGTAAAATATACGTCGCAGGCCTATGACCTGGCTGTAGCACTGCCGCAAAGACGAAAATGGAGAACACGTGAATAACCAGTATTCCAGGCGTCTTTCTAACTATCAGCACCACTTTAATTCATCTTGCAAGGACGGATCCAAGGGGGTCATGACCCTCACCCTTGGGCGAATCACGACTAGATTCGCTCGAAGAAGCACTGATGCAGACGCCGCCGCTGTTCTTCCCGGAGCTTTGCCGCCACTAGCTCCATTTTCTAAAAACAGTAAAGCTTGGCATAGTAAAAACCTCATATCAAAATTTCATCAAAATCGGTTCATTTCTTGGAGACTTACGATACTGCAGACAGATGCTCAGATAGACATGTTACTTAAACTTGAAATATCCCTCGTTTATGCGTCGATGGTAACAAAACATGACTCCAACTTTGGAGCACTGGACTATCATGAATCTGTGGAGGTGGAAACTTTGCATTGGAGTGTACGGAAATGCGGTGCTGTCAAGCCAATGACTCAATATCAGTACAGCCTAAAATCGGAGAACCGTTATGACTGATCCGAATATATTCTAAGTCGATTCGACACAATTCGCAATTCAAAAATGTGTACGCCCAAAATAAAACTATTATTTGGGTGTAGAAAACAAACTAAAGCTTATTTCTACCATGCGTCACAAGTCAAGAAAACGGTGTAACGTTTGGACACCCGGCAAACTACAGCCGCACTCTGCGCCCTCCCATACTGTCTCATGCTTATGGAACACACACTTTCTAACATACGTACACATTGAAAGCGGCGCCCCAAAACGTAAAAGATTTTCACTAGGTCTCCGCGACTGCTGTAAGGAGATTGAAGCCACCCCTTTAATCCGATTTTTGAACTGCCTGAGGTTAGCAGAACTGAGTAAAACCTCTCGAAATCTCTAAGCCCCAGGAACCAAGGAGCGGTTGTACCGGCCAGTTCTTGATGTAGGAAGTTCGACAGAGTTAGGTCGGGAGGTAGAGGCTTGGCGGGTCCGTCTGGCAGGCTCAAAGAGCTGGTGATGATGGAGAATAACTCTGAGAAACATAATCAAAGATCACTCACCACAAGCAAAGTCGAATCCAGTCATATCGTAAATATACACGTGCAGATCCCCTACAAGCAGGCTCTCATCATTCCCGCTCCTCAAAAGGTACGAGCCCATGTTAGTCTTTAAGAATTGCCTGCACGCCGTGATCCAAGTCTGCAACTCTAACATGTTAAAAGGCGATGTCGGCACCTTCCCTGTCCTTTCCGTCTTTTGGAGCGTGAGAATCGCGTCGATCCACTGAGTTCGCTCGAACTCTGACGATAAGAAGAACATGTATGTCCTCCCAGTGGATTTGTTCTTTATTCGGTACACCAGGTTTGGAGAGACCAGCACCAACTGGCTTTCTAGCTCTATCAGTCTTTTACGGTATTTGTCCGACCCTCGGGAAAGCTTTGATCGATTCTGAAACAACGAATAGTTCAAAAAGCATTTGAAGTGAAAAATCAAAAACTAGTATCGGAAAGATGCAATATTTTTGTTACTAATTTCATTTTAAAGAAATTCGTATTGTAGTCCCTCGTGAATATCTATATATAAATGTGAATGTCTGTCCAGTCTAACAGTATCCCGTCTGAACCACAATACGCAGAGACGTAAAATGTGTACACTTACTAACTGATAGTCGAGGAAGGTTTCATCCGCGAAAATATACAGGGTGTTCAAAAGGTATTAACAGACCAAAATATCGCGTCAAGAGGAAAATGTTGAAGAACAAAGTTGTAAGGTTTGAAAAGATTAATCTAATGGTGATCTTGAACGTGACCTTGACTATGACCTTCAAAGTTATTTTTTGTTACACAGGAAAATTATTGATCGAAAAATTTTACGTTATAGAACGTTTTTGTCCAAGACCTTGACCATGATCTTAATGGGTATTTGAGGGTGCCCAGAAAGTATAAGTATACAGGGTGTTCCTTAATGATATGCGAATATTTAAGGGTGTGAATCTACATGAAAAATTAATGTTAGTTTGCTTTATAAACTATGGCCCAAAAATGTTTCTTTACAAAAACTACAGGTGTTGAAGTTTTAGGAAAAAAATAACAGAGACTTGTCAGATGTCAAAAGCCAGAGACATATTCCAGAGCAAATAGATATTTATTGCTAAATTGTATTATTCAATTATTACATTAATTTTCTCGGACAATAGAACGGTTTTTATTTTTTTACTCAAAAATGGCGCATCGAAGGAAAACAATTCAAGAGACGTCATTTGTTTTAAATTGAACGGGGAATTCAAAAATAATTTCAATTTGACAAAAAACCATTGGCGTACCATTTTTTTCTTAAAAAATATTGAAGTCAATACCCGTACGCACGCCACTGTTAAAGCTAAAAAATATTTTTCCATTGAAAAATATGCAACTTTATTAACTTTCACTACGTACTAAATATCAGTGAAATATCTGAAGCGGTTCTGAAAATATTAATTAATTTCCATTTTTTCCCTAAAACTTTAACACCCCGAGTTTTTGTAAGGAATCATTTTTGGACCATAGTTTATAAAGCAAACTAACATTAATTTTTCATGTAGATGCACACCCTTAAATATTCGCATATCATTAAGGAATAAGTATAAGAAATATATCGAAAAAAAAAATAGGTTTCATAAAGAAAAACCTTGTGTTATAAAGTAGCAAGGTTTGAAAATATTCATCTAATGGTGACCTTGGCTATGACGTTCAAGCTCATTTAAAGGTCAAGTCAATTTTCTTAAACGGAAACCCCTATTTTGGAAACCGGAAATTAAATGAGCAAGAAACTGTATGTTCAAGTATGTCCATGAAATTGAATATGACCATCAGGATCAAATAATTTTTTAATTTCTGAAATGCAAATTGCCGACAATCTTACGTTCAATATCGTTGCCAATGAACCTGTCCGTGACCTTCAAGGATAAATTGTCCAGTAAACTTCTTTTGCCGAAGATATAAAAATGCATTTACATTAATTTATTGTTGCATAAAAAATGTTCATTGTCAAACTGTTGCATTTATTTCTCCAAAACTATTCTCCTTCACACTAATGCAAAACGAATGACATATTATTTACACTAATTCCATGCGAGCGGAGCTGCGGGTTCAGTATAGTTGTCAATATAATAATTGTGTATTCATCTGTTCCAATTTTTTTTTTCTTAAAATTCCAGTCAAATAAATTCCGTACATAATATTTTTGTATCCTCCCATAATATGCCTTTGCCTATTTTTGTGATTCCTTACCTCATTGGCTTTTTCTTCCTGCCTCAACTGATCCCTAACGTTGGAAGCCTGCGATTTCAAAGCTACTATGTTAGCTTGCGTAACTTCGTGTGAATTGGCGGTTGTTTCTTCTAAAGTTAAAATATCTTCTACTGGAATAAACCATTTCAGCTCAAAGGTATACTTTTCATTGCGACCGGAAGGCTGGAAAAATACATATATTTTAAAAAAAGAGCATGCGGTTTAGGAATATAATCTTACATGGTTTTAATAATTCGAAACGCAAAAAAACTTAATTTTTGAATAGAAAAATACATTACTCACCTTATATTTGGCACATGCTATAACATCATTGAATAAGAATAAATGTCTAAGTTTCCTGTGATTATCCACATATTCCACAATAAAGGAATTTTTTACTAGTCTTCTCTGAGCACGATCCGTTGCCTGAAAAAAATATAAAATACCTTGACCCTCTTTTATCATTGATTACCGTATTCTACCTGAAGATAAGCAACCATACTGTATCCTGGCGCCCCAAAACGGGGATACTAGCGCCATCTGTGAGGCACTAGCAGAACACAGGTGGCATACGAAAACTATGGCTCATCAAACCAAAGGCACAATAGCCACTTTGAGAATAGTTCAGGCACTGATTAACGTATCTTACGTGAAGATACCCTATTAAAATACGCATTATAGAGAGGGAAAAGTGAAAACACTCGTAACTCTGTTACAGTTTTTTTAAGGCCGACTAAAAATTAACTATGTCTTGATAAAGTAAATTATTACAACGTTTTTCTTATTTAGAATAATAATTTTATAGCAGTTCTTAAAAATATCGAATTTCATTTTTATAACGTGACACTTCTCTCAGTCTACTAATTTTAAGGTAGAAAATCCTACTCCTCTCCATCTCGCTAAAGGTATTTTTATAATTTCTGTAGACCGTAAATACGAGGGCTGAAGGTGACTTGGTGCTATGTCCGGTGCTCTCGTGTAGGCAGTACAGCACCATAGCCCGATTTAGTGAAATAATTTCACATCAGGGCTGCGGTTTATCGGGTGGTGGGATTTTAATAGAAATCGGCCTCCATTAGCGAGTTTTGTTGGCGGAGCCCTTTTTCTCACCCTCCTGGGGATTTAGCCGTTGTCCTAACTACACTAAACCATCGAGCCGGTAAGTGACCATTTTCTCCAAGTGTTCATTTCCTCAACATGATTTCTAAGTCTACAGTGGGGAACTGGTTGCAGTGATACTCCGAGGCGAATTTAAGGTCACGGTATCACGTCTGTAAGGAACAGTCGCCCATTTCTGTGAACCCTTATTGTTCGAGGTAATTAAGATTTTTTACTTTGCTAGACCCGTCTTAATCTCTAAAATATTCCTGTTGTTCTCAAGTAACATTTTAATTGTTTTGCTTATGAGTTAAGTGAGGGCATGAAATATTTTACCTCCGGGACCTCATGTTTTTGTATACAGGTATCTGATTATTTTAATTTAGTTCAGGTTAATTTAAAAATTTGGGTATTACTAGTGCAATCACGATTTTCCTTGTACACCCTGAGTGAACAGCAGCTTTGTTTTAATTTAAAATTTTTGAATTGATGTAACCCAAGACTAAATATTTTAAAGTTAAATTCAAATTTTTAATTCTTGGAAGCAAACTAATAAGGGGGATTATTAGTCAAATCGTTAATAGAGTTACATTTGGGACTTTCTGCCCTCGGTTGTCTTCCGGTGATAGCCAGGCACCTGCCAAGGTGTTTTTTCTTTATTTTCGATTTTTTTACTGGAAACCATTTAGCTGGGGTGTAGTAAAGAATAACTTTCTTTTGTTTGACCTCTAGGACCTCTACAAGATAAGATTTTTTACTTTGCTAGACCCGTCTTAATCTCTAAAATATTCCTGTTGTTCTCAAGTAACATTTTAATTGTTTTGCTTATAAGTTAAGTGAGGGCATGAAATATTTTACCTCCGGGACCTCATGTTTTTGTATACAGGTATCTGATTATTTTAATTTAGTTCAGGTTAATTTAAAAATTTGGGTATTACTAGTGCAATCACGATTTTCCTTGTACACCCTGAGTGAACAGCAGCTTTGTTTTAATTTAAAATTTTTGAATTGATGTAACCCAAGACTAAATATTTTAAAGTTGAATTCAAATTTTTAATTCTTGGAAGCAAAATAATAAGGGGGATTATTAGTCAAATCGTTAATAGAGTTACATTTGGGACTTTCTGCCCTCGGTTGTCTTCCGGTGATAGCCAGGCACCTGCCAAGGTGTTTTTTCTTTATTTTCGATTTTTTTACTGGAAACCATTTAGCTGGGGTGTAGTAAAGAATAACTTTCTTTTGTTTGACCTCTAGGACCTCTACAAGATAAGATTTTTTACTTTGCTAGACCCGTCTTAATCTCTAAAATATTCCTGTTGTTCTCAAGTAACATTTTAATTGTTTTGCTTATAAGTTAAGTGAGGGCATGAAATATTTTACCTCCGGGACCTCATGTTTTTGTATACAGGTATCTGATTATTTTAATTTAGTTCAGGTTAATTTAAAAATTTGGGTATTACTAGTGCAATCACGATTTTCCTTGTACACCCTGAGTGAACAGCAGCTTTGTTTTAATTTAAAATTTTTGAATTGATGTAACCCAAGACTAAATATTTTAAAGTTAAATTCAAATTTTTAATTCTTGGAAGCAAAATAATAAGGGGGATTATTAGTCAAATCGTTAATAGAGTTACATTTGGGACTTTCTGCCCTCGGTTGTCTTCCGGTGATATCCAGGCACCTGCCAAGGTGTTTTTTCTTTATTTTCGATTTTTTTACTGGAAACCATTTAGCTGGGGTGTAGTAAAGAATAACTTTCTTTTGTTTGACCTCTAGGACCTCTACAAGTTTTTTATTTTGTTTTGGTTCAATAAATGTTTGTGTACCTTGTGAGTTTGTATCTCCTTTAGAGCCAGAAATCCAACAGTGGTTACTTGTTATTTCTTTTCCTAGTGCTTGGAACTAGGTGGCGCCCAAACCACAACCAGTTGCATCCAAAAATGAAAGTACAAAGAACCTCACTCATATCTATCAACAGTTTTCGCGGGATAACAACTATTCTCAATTTAGATTTCCAAATGCACTTTTGTGTCCAGTCACTGTCTCAAAGATGGCAATGGCATATTTTAGATCCCTTGCGAGCCAGAATACAGTATACGATTGGTTATCTTCAAGTATAATATGTTTGTCAATGGCGGGAGTTTCGGACTGAAAATTGTATGCAGTGTATTAAGGGACCAATCCTGTCTCACCAGAGCGTCACTTGAACAAGATTAATGTTTTGTCTTTATTAAGCCTCATCAATAGCGTAGAAATTTACAACACCTTGTACCTTGGTAATCGGCCGTTTTAGGAGTTGTATTATGCTCATAGGAACTATTTATTTTATTTTTGAATGCACTTCCGGCTCTAGAAATATTGCCCTTGTTTTCATCGCCCTCTATAACTTTTTATAGCGAAGCAGTCGCGCAGGTAGACGCCTAAATACCAGGGCGCCGCGGAAACTGTAACTGCACTAAGCGAGTTCTACCATTAGTTAAAATAATTGAATATTAGCTGTTACCAGCGACTTCGTACGCTTAAAGTGGTTAAAATATCTTGTATTTTAAAAATTATCAGTTTAGATTAAACCAAATTTTACATTGTTAAATACTTCTCTGCCTAGCCTTTAGTTAGAAAAAGTATATACATACATATATATATATATATATATATATTTGGGCTGATGGCCCACCTTCCCCCCCGCCCTTTCACAAAATCCATTCTTAGCTAAGATGTGCTTCTATAAACTACCTCCCTGTCAAATTTTATACTCATAGGTCAAAAAGTTTTCGAAATTTCGTGATAACACGTTTGCATATATCTGTCCCTAGGCCCGCTTAATCCAGCCCTGTGGCGAAATCCGTTCTGAGCTGACATGTCCTCTTCATAAAGTATCCTCCTGCTAAATTTCGTATACAGACGTCAAATAGTTTTAAAAGTAATGTTACACATATAAATATTCGATCACCTCCTACCCCATCTTGAGGGCCTCTTGAAATCTCATTTATATTTTTTAATTTAAACTAAACATACCCCTACCTGTAGTCTGGGATAATTTGGAATGTTCTAGGTGCTTCAGCGTCAAGAGTATTAACCCCCACTTCGCCCCTTATGGGTGGTATTTATATTATGTGAAAGAACCAAATATATAAAACCCATATTTGTATCTCTAGCTTAAAGAGTAATACTGTAACTTTCACCTCCTATTTAAACTCCTTCATTTTTGCAACAGAATGCAGCCTATGTCCGTCTGTCTCCAAGGTCCAATCTTAAAAACGGAACATACAAACATACACACTTTTGCATTTATATTAAAAATACAGCAAATGCACGATGCAAATGCCATATTTACCCTTTCTCATTTAGGTCGGACCGGCGACTGGGCGCTTCCGTGCCAGACATTCAGGTCAAATACCATTAAGCCGTTTGGGCTGCAGCCCATGCAATAGATATTTCAAAGTTATTTTCCCTGATAAAAGGTAACATATGTGCTACTTCAGCTCATAAACTATGTCTGAACCAAATTTCATCCAGATCCTTTCCGCGATTTTAACGTGATTGGGTATCAAACATCCACACTTTCTCATTTATAATACAGGGTTGGCCAACATATGACTGATTTAAATTGCGCGCCATTTTTGATACACACATTTCAGTAGATGGCGCCGTAGTAATTGTTTAAAGCACATGTGTCCAATTCATCATGGAGCGCTACATGATCCCACAACTCGTCCGTATTATTAAAACGTTTTACTTAAATAATGAGTCGATTTTTGCAACGATTCGGAAGCTACAAGATTTCGGTCGAAATAATGTACCCAGGTGAAGATGACTTGCCAAGATCGGGCCGTGTTCGAACTGTTAGTACTCCGGAAAATATCGAGAGATAAAATGTAGTGGAGCGCCCTGAGACGGCTCGTTCTCAAGAACTTGCTATTCGTAGCACGTGATTATGCAGTATTTTAAAAAAAGACTTGCATTTGCGGCCATATAAAATTCAGTTAACCCAAGAACAACAGCCTAGTGACTGTGAAAGTCGCCGACAATACAGTCATGCAATATTGCAGATTAATACCCAAAATAACGATTTTTACCGACAAGTGATAATGAGCGATGAAGCCCACTTCAACTTTGTTAATATAATGAGAATTGTTGTATCTAGGCATTAGAGAACCCTCGTGTCATCCATCAACGATCACTACATCCTCGTTGAGTCTCAGTTTAGTGCGCTGATTGGTATGGAGGTGTCACTGGACCTTCCTTCTTTGAAGACGCTGCAGGTAATTCTCTTACTGTCACATGCGAGCGCTACCGTGATATGGTGCAAAACTTTCTGGCTCCTCAAATCCAACAATTTAATCTGCAAAACATGTGGTTCGAGCAGGATGGAGCAACTTGTTACACAGATAGGAAACAATGAATCTTTTGCGAACAATATTTCCGGGACGTTTAGTTTCTCGATTTGGTAATGTCAACTGGCCACCAAGGTCTACCGGATTTAACGGCTCCTGACTTTTTAATGGGGATTTTTTAAAAATATTGATTATGCCAACAAATCAAATACTGTAGAGAATCTGAAGAACAATATTACGGAAGCGATTGAAAATATTCCTCCCGAAACCTACCAAAAAGTGATGGAAAATGTAATCAAGATGGCTCAGGTTTGCGCGGTTGCTAGAGGCGGACATTTGTCTGATATTATTTTTCACACATAATTTCTAAGTTTCAATAAAAGATGAAAACCAGTCAGTTACATATCGACCACCCTGTATTAATACAGATGCTTATTTCTGATCCATACAATACAAAGAAGTAATTAAAAACAACTTACAGGAAACATAGACTTCGTCTGTATCATATTGAACTGATCCAAGAAATTCTGCGTAAAATTCAGAGCCTCGGTCAAGCTGTGATGGTCCGGATGCGTAGGTGGCACATATTTTAACAAATCATGTAACACCAAAGCGTTTTTCTGTACCCTTGCCACCGGTTTATGAAGGAGGTCCTCCAAGCTGATGGGCTGCCCGGATAGTTGCTTGCAGGTGATGTTTTTGGAGATTTCGCTGAACTGAGTGTTGGCAGCACTGCACTTGCGGACTGTGTCCAAGGCTTGGCCGTAGTTGCTTAGAAACGCGCCGTACAGCGACAAGTTTGAAGCCTTAAAGAAATTACCGGAAAATTAAACTTACTTTGAAACTTTCAAAAAAAGCTTGAGTATAGTTGAAGCTATTCCGTTTGTTTCACAACCTTAAATAGCCCTTCTAAACGCGTGTCCTAAACAGTCTGGTTTCCAAGATTCAGGGGTTTACATTTTTTTTTTCAGTTTTTTATTAATATATATATATATATATATATATATATATATATATATATATATATATAGAGAGAGAGAGAGAGAGGGGGGGGGAAAGGGAGAAAGAGAGATGCGGAAAAAGGTATATAACAAATAGAAAATAGGATAGGTAACGCAAGCGATACATATTGCTGCTTGTTGGCTTCATCAGGAGCACATACACAACCACAAAAGTAGATAAACACGCCCATGCATCTGGATACAGGTGTAACCTGAGGAAACGAAGATGGAGAGGAAAAAAATGACACACGAAGCCCCCATCAAGAGTCAAGCTACACATTATAAAATGGCTAGAATACCTCGAGTTTTCAAGGTGACATCTAGCCACAACCACGCAGCCGGTTATAGCCACTTGCTGTGGTATTTCAAGCCCAAAGGATCTACAAAGGATCATACATTTTTTTGGCAATAGGTATTTGTGAGAGACGTCACTGGAATTCATAATAACAGTTATTGCTAACTAAGCGTCTTATTTTAATGGACAACACTGGCAAAATTCAACAAAATAGGCAGAGGATTTTTGAGATGAGAGAACATTCTTATAAAACTGTGACACCGTATACCTTCCAAGCCAGACTTTTTAGATCACATGTTTATATGAACTTTTCTACTTAAATTTAGTTCAGGAATGTGCCCTTGCAATTATAGCTTATCATTGAGTTGCAACGATATTGGACCCAAAAAAGAAGTCTTATCTATGCATTTTTATACAGACAAAAATTATTACCATCAATTTGAAATGCTCGCCGATTTTTGTATCCCATTTCTGTAAATGCCTCTTAAGTGCTTCTAGGAAATTTGAATGTAAAGTATAGAGTTCAGGAATCTTGTAAAAAATCGTATTCAGCTCTGCCTCACTAACGATCGGTTGTGATGTTCCTACAGTTGCTTGAATTGCTTTCATATACTAAAAATGACAAATATGTATTATTAAAATATCTCGTATAGTAACTGGGGCCTTATGTCTAACCCCCTTCCTTTCATAATAGCCAAAGTCAGTCATTATAGTCAGTGACCAAATATGAAACCATTTTTAAGGTTATCTTCAAGTTGTCAAACCAAGTGAAAAATGCCACCAAATTTGCTAAATATTACATCCTATAATGTTTACCTTCAACAAAACGCTAAGCCAGTCTACATAGTTAGTTTCACTGTCTGTTATGTTAGATAAAATGCTTTTATACATTCTATCCACTTCATTCTTCATATCACCTTCCTAAAAAATAATTATCATCAGTAGGTCTACCAAAAAAATCCAGAAAAATATCTTACATGACTGAATTTCCTCCTAGATGCAGGCGTCATAGACTCCAAAGAACTCGAACTTGCATAGGAACTGTTGTCATTGTGACGTCTCAATTCAGCAAGCTCGTCATGTTCATCTTCACTGCTACTATGACTACCATTCTTTTTGGCAGACCTAAAGTAATATTGCGACATAAGGCTTTGTTAGAAATGATTAATTGTCTGTCTTAAGTAATCAAAAAAATGTATATTCTCAAACATGACATCAAGCTTCAAAGAAAAGATCACCCCTCGAAGTATTCCTAAAATTTCGTATTTTCATAATTTCTTAACGACAAAAAACAAAATCTGCGGCAACAGTCCCAGAGATGACCACTCTGACACCTAAAGATAGTATTCTACAAGTATATAGTTATAGGCAAGGCTTTAAATTAAATTGGGTGTTTTCTGGTTTAACATCATCAATAGTTATCAGGGTTGTTATGTTTTAATCAAAATGTTTTAAACAATGAAGGTGTCTTAAACCAATTTGTTTTAAACTGTTTAAAACGTGTTAAACTTTTTGTCGTTTGTAAATTAATCAAGTTTATTTTATATTTTTTTAAGTATGATTAAAATTGATTTTATTTCGCAAAATGAAACTAAAAGGGCCATAGGTTAAAATACATAGGTACTAAAAAATATACCTTATTTTTTATTAATTAATCAAACATGAAACTAGAGAGCTGATACCAGTGGAAAAAAATCTGTTTCTTAACGAACGAGTGAACTTAATAAACTGCATTGAACTCCAATACTAGTACACTACAAGCAGCAGAATAATCATATAATATGACTATGTATTTACTTGTATAATAATATTAAATAAGTTGCTTGACAAATTTCTATAAAAGTATACAACCCATCTTATTTAACAAAAAACCTTAGATCCATATTTTTAAAAAGTTATGGTAGTCACTATTGAAATGGGTGATAGGGGGGGGGTCAAAACAAGTCAAAAAGTTCATATGACCCATGGTCCAAAAGTCAATAGATTTTTGTTTAAGTGGCTTTATAGTTTACAGCTTTAAGTGCTTTATAGCGACCACAATCACCACAATTTTACTAATTTTTATAATCTAATCTAAAACGTTTTTAAATTGGGTAATTAACAAATAAATGGCATTAAGTTTTCTAAGTTAAGCCAAAATTTGTAGTCAGTAAGTAAGTTTCATTAAATTAAATATTTAAAACACACATGACAACAGCGCGCCGGCTTTTCATCACTCTTATCGAACCGGCAATCGATCGCAAACGGTAACAGTGGTTAGTTATCGGGCATCGGGCCTGTTGTTTTGTTTTTGTTCGCGTACGTTGTCGTGTTTCTTTACAATGTTCTCGAATCAAAAGTTCGCCGACATGTTACTTTACGGTGAAGCTCGTCAGAATTCAAATCTTGCAGCTCAAATGTAACGCGATAGATTTCGCCAACGGGTACACCCAGACAGCGGGACATTTGTGCAACTGTACCAAAGACTTCGAAATACAGAAAGTGTTCAGCCGACTAATATTCGCACTCGTGAAATACCGGTTACTGTAGATCAGGAGGAACAAATTTTAAATATCGTGGAAATCAATGCAGATATCAGCACTCGGGACTTGGGCCGCCGCGTAGGACTATCGTCCATAGAATCCTACGGGAAAATTTGCTTTATCCCTACCATGTACAACGAGTGCAGGCCTTGTTACCAGAAGACTATAATCGCAGACTAACATTCTGTCAGTGCTTTTTGCACAAAAACATTGAAAATCCAGATTTTTTTAAAAACATTCTAGCGACGGACGAATGTACTTTTACGCGAGACGGGATATTAAATTTCCATAATACTCACACATGGGCCCAAGAAAATCCTCATACCATTCGTGAAGGTCATTTCCAACAACGTTTTAAAATAAATATTTGGGCGGCTATTCTTGACGATCAGGTAATTAGCAATTTCGAGTTAACCCCAAAGTTATCAGGAGAAGGATACCTTAGCTTTCTAGCTAATAACCTACCAAAACTTTTGGAATAGACCTCAGACAACATGCCATTACAACGAAGACAGAATTTGTGGTTTCTTCATGACGGGGCACCACCACACATTTTTAAAGGGGTCATTCAGTATTTGAATGAACATTATCCAAATCGCTGGATCGGTCGAAATGCTCCTGATCCTCGAAAATGGCCAGCAAGATCTCCTGACCTCAATCCGATGGATTTCTGGTATTGGGGAGAACTTAAAGGGATGGTTTATGGGGCTGGTCCCATAACAACTGAAGCACAACTCCGCGAAAAAAAATTTAATGCGGATGATATAATAAATGGACAACTTCGATGACCTAGAGTAAGAAGAAACTGGGTTCGTCGTAATGAAGCTTGTGTGGAAAGTGGAGGACGACATTTTGAACACCTTATTTAAATACAAAAAAGTGCAGTGTGGGTTTTAAAAAGAAAAACAATGTATGTATCAAAATTGTGTTCCCTATTTATAAGTGGATTTTTTTAATACGTTCATAAACTTTCACACACCAGGTGAAGCGCTGAGACAGTTAGTGGTAAGTCCTTTTTTTTAATTATTTGCATTTTACGAGTACATTATCAAATAATGAAATAATACCTAAGAGCCAAAAATAACAAACTATCTTTATTTACACTGCGTTCCGTCGTAATTTGCATCTGACATTCCGGCGTTATCAGATTTTTTTTACTTTAAAGACGCTTTTTTCTAAAAAAATGCCGTTTTGACCCCCATGTTATATAAAACTTTTTGCTTCTTTTAACCCCCTCTATCCCCATTTAAATAATGACTATCATAACGTTTACACTCTGTATAAAATCATGGAAAATGTACATAAAATAAATTTTTAGTTTTCACTACTTTTTACTCCAAGTAAAAATATGTACCTTTTTCACAATTTTCCAAGCCCAAGCTACCTAACTTTGAGGAAACAGGTTCGGTAGAATCATCATCATTATCGGTATCAGAACTATCTGATATATGAATATTTTGTTTTTCTAACAAACTTCCTTGTTTAAGTTGTTTACAATTTTCAATATGCTTGCGCATTCTAGCCACCAGTGGCACTACGAGTATATATATCCATATTGCAGGTTAAACATTTTACTCTTTTATTTATTTTCGAGCCAGCTTTGGCATCAGTCTCCTTAAAATATTTCCACACGGGATCTTTTATCCTCCCTGTCATTGCCTTTCTTCTTTTGCCGATTTTTAATGCACAAAAAACAAAACAAAACACCACGCTACGACTTCGCACATTTGACTGCTGGAGATCGCATCGCAACGCGAATAATTACCCAAAGGCAAACGGTACTTCCCCGACATCCGCACAGTAGTTTCCCGACGTTCGCCTTTAAATTAGAGATGTGCTCTGATAGAGCTGGATCAAAAATAGTAACAACACTTTCAAGGAACTTCATTAACATTATATAGGCAACGGTTTTTTAATTTTTCTTTTACTATTTTAAACATCTATTAACAATGTTTTAAACATGTTTTTTTCAGTTAAATTTGAATGTTTTAAACAAAAAAAAAAACATGTTTTTTTCAACCCTGATGGTTATAGTTATAAAACCAGTACAACCAAATATCTAACATTACTGAAATATACAAGTATGGTCAGCAAAACAATCTGATAACAATATTTTAGTTGATTTATGAGTTGTAATTCAAAAATGTCGATATTATGTTGCCTTCAAATACGAAAAATTTTAAGTAAAAATCAATATCAAAATTTTCATAACACGGATTAATAAAATATGGTGCGACATATGTCAAGTATGCAATGTTGCCATTATCTTACACACAAATCCTCTGGATTTCAGAAAGTAAAGTATACTCACTGTATAAAATATTCAATATTCACATAATTCGAGGTTCCAGGCGGCTGGTTATCTTGAATATCTTGTTTGGAGTCCCTTTTAGAATCCAAAGGCAGGGTGCTGGAAGAACTGAATACATTTTCAATACTAGAATTGTTACTTTTAGAAAGGGCGTAGTCTTCTTCTGGTGCTACCATATCATAGTAAGGTTCGTCCGCCGTATTGAGAAACTCAGACGAAGACGATATTGAGTCGCTATTGCTGGTCCTACTTTTGTTTTTTAGTGATTCGGGTTTAGATGGTAACCTGAAAACGCAGATATGTGCTAGTGTGATTGAAATTAAACAATTGTGCGGATATACGCTAAAATATTTCTGATTTGCAAGAATTTCTGGATTTAGACAATTATTTACGTAGAACCATCGATTAACGTACTGTATCTGCAGAAAGTTAACTATACCGGGTGATTCTCTAAGGTGGCTCACCCCTATAACTTTTTTATTATTGAAGATAGAAAAACGAAATTTAATATACAGTCACTTTAAAGATTTTGTAAATGTTGCCAACACTAATTTTTTCAGTTTGATTTTATAACGAATAGTTTGATACTACAAACTCTAATTTTATTTTCAACATTTTTCTGAATATGTAATTGTAAGAAATGATCATACCTAACAACAAAACAATAACAGGGATCTGCATTCGGTATACCTCTGCAAGTCCTACCATTCTAGTTATCCGTGACAAACAATAAATTGAAGGTGTCGCTAGAGTTACTTCAACAAATACCTAATCTAGGTTATTAAAAATATTGACGGTTTTGAAAATTTATTTGTTACATAGTTAATTTACAGTGGAAAACTATACTAGAAGCAAGAAAATTGACATGCTGTTGATTTACGGGGAAGCAAGAAAAAATGCAACTGAGGCAGCTCGAATTTATTCTCAGAGATTCCCCAATTCGTCGCCATCTCACTCGGCATTATTTTCCAAAACTCTGGAACAGAACACGCGAAATGAACCAGAAGTAAATGCCCGTAACTTAATTGTCAGTGAAGAAAAAGGAATAGACGAGTTGGCCTATGTTGAAGTAAATTGCACAGCGACAATTCGGAAATTTTTTTTAGAATGTGACAAGTTATTCATCCGTTTGGAGAAATCTTCACAAATATAATTATCGAAAATTCAAGTACCACTTACACCAACATCTTTACCGTGACGACCACAACCGAAGATTAACTTATTGTAACTGATTTTTGACTAAATACAGAGAAGATGTACGTTTGCCGTTTAAATAATTCACCCGGAAGGCGGTTTACCAACTTACGTCTAATGCACGAAGGAAATTTTCAAGAGCACTTTGGTTTCAACTTCTGGATGGGTATTATCGGAGAAAAACTTTTGGGGCCAATAATTTTCGATAGAGATATTTTTTTTGGGACAATCAAAAATCAGGTACTCAGCTACTCGCGAAGAACGGCAACAACAATTGATAAAGTTGATCTTTGCCGTGATCAAGGAGGAGGCCATTTTGAATACTCGATACCTTAATAATACATTTTTGAATTTTATTTTTTGTTATAATAATGATAGGGTTATTTAATACATTTGTATAGTTTACTCCAACGTAGTCCAACAGGTCTATTTCTTTTTCTTCACTGACGATAAATTTATTCACATTTTAACTTCTGCTTTGTTGCACATTTTGTATTTCGAAAGCAACACCTTCAATTGTCACGGATAACTAGAATAAAAGGACTCAATGCATAGGTATACCGAATGCAAATACATGTTATTTGTTGTTACTTATGATCGTTTTTTATAATTATTCAGAAAAATAGTGAAAATAACTTAAAAAGTTTGTAGTATCAAATTATTCGTAAGAAAAAGGTCTCTTAGAAAAAGGCGACGAGCCACACCTTTCTATTTGAAAAAATCAAGTAAACTGAAAAAATCAGTTTGTAACTTTTAGAAAATCTTTAAAACGTCTGTAAGGTCGTTCGCCTCAAAACCGCATTTTTCCCGTGTTACTTGATCAAAAATGAAGCCATTTACAGGATCCATGGCATTCTAGATCGAAAAATAAAAATTGAAATAAAAATGGCTTTATCCGTCAAATATTGTTGTTAAGTTCAGAATGTCATTCGATCGAAATCAGTAAAAATATATAGGATGTCCTATTTAAAAATCGAAAGTTGTAGTCGTTCTCGGTCAAACCGGAGGACAAAGCAAGTGAATATGTCAAAAAATGTAATTGTATCTATAATACGCAGCCCCCAAATTTCGTTTTTTATCTTCAATAATAAAACTATTATAGGGGTGAGCCACCTTGGAGAATCACCCCTTATACTGTATTACGGCGCATAAAAAGGGATCTGAAAAATCCTAGCGCCACCTAGAAAAAGGTTAGTGTTTGGTAGCGCCACTGTCTCATAGACGGTGCTAAGCTCTTCAATCCCTTTGGGCGCATCTGTAATGCCTATTTTAATTAAGCATCTTCAGATGGAATCCGTTAGTCAATGTCAGATTAGACAGGCGCCAAAAATGAAATCAAGATTATAGCGCTAACTATGAGATTGTATCAGAACCAAACACTCAAATATTTTCAAACTAGATTTCTAAATTCCTTTTTATAATCTGTTACTGTCTCATAGATACGTCTAGGCTCTTTCAGATCCCTGATTAGTAGAATACGGTGATCAATGGTACAACTGAGGTTCGCGTATTTAATGAGCAATATTTTGGCTATGTTCCAAAATTATCAGAAACTGGAAGAAAATACTGAAAAGTTTTAAATCTGCGAAACATGTTTACAGCTCAGGAAAAATTTAGACTATTTTCCAAAAATTGTTAAAAAATAAAAAGTCCTGTAGCTCTTGGTTTATTCTTCGTATTTTCGAAAATACCTCATCAGTTTTGTTATTTTTTTTTTATTAAACGGTTTTCTTACGCGTTTGGCCAACGATAAAATAAAACCGCTTCCAGGCTATATTTAAAAAAGTTACGTCATCCAGTGAAGGAGGTATCTGATACAAGATACATATTGATTTTTTATTTATAGCCTGTAACACTTCATACATCAGTGACAATGGCTTTGGGAAAACCAGTACACACATAATGCACAAGAACAATATAAAATAACAGTTATTTGGTAGATTATTATTACACCTTTGTAATATTAGATACAGTTATTGCTTTTGCACATATATGGCATAACGTAAGAAAATAAATCCCAAACAGCCAACTGACTCACTACTCAGAAATCTAAGAATATGCAATTACTGATTATGTCCATACAGGCTGGAAGAAAGTATTGTTTCAGCCTTATAAACCAACTAGATCGAAAAATGCCAATTCTGACACAATCAATTTGATAGCATAGTAAGTCTATGGCGAATGTCACACTATAAGTATTGATTGTGATCCGTCAGTATTTACCATGGAATGTGATATTTACTGACCATGTGGCTAGAACATCAGTAATTATTGATATACAGGGTGTTTATTTGAAAACTTCCCACCACGGATTTATCGAAAACCACTGATTAAAAGAAAAAAACGCCGAGACACGTCAAAAGATTTGTCAAGGGGGACAACTTTTTAGCAAAAACTACTACCCCCTTTCACCATCGGCCCCCCAGTTTCATTCCCTTGAAAATTTTAAATGACAATGGATATCGAATAATAGCTTGTTTAAAAGGTCTTTCAAAGCCCTTTATTTTGACGTTAGATTTTTAAAATCGGTCGATTCGTTTTCGAGAAAATTAGAAAAATCTGTATTTATCTTAATTTGTTCACATATAAAAAAAATACACACAAAAATATCACTTATTATTTCAATAAGTGTTCAAAATGTTGCCTGTTAGGGTTTTCCAAATCTACAATTCGTTCATAATTTAAAACGGAAACTACCAACATAAACAGCAATTCAGAAGATGAGACGTGGATGGTGAATTTTTTTTCGCATTCTTTTCATCAATACAGATATCCTGGGCGAACTATATTTATTGTTATACTTGTTTAGTTATTTGTTTCTAAGGGAAAGAAAGCATTTAGTTTATTGTAACAATCTTGGGATAGTGAAAATTAATTTATTGATTCAGATCTTACTTCCAAAATGGTTTACAGACTAGCCGAAAGAGTGGAAATGATTCTAATTTATAGTGCCCAAAATCAATGTGCTCGGCAAACTGCCGTCACGTTTAACGCCAGACATCCCGAGAAGATAACTTCGCATATGTATGTTGTGGACCTTGTTACTAAGCTTACTCAAACTGGATATGTTGCAAATAAATATGTGATCGGAGAGTTTTGGATGAAGCCGCTCAAGTAGAAGTTTTGGGTCATTTTGGAATGAATCCTAATACTTCATTACGCAAAATTGTTGCTACGACTGGTATTTCATTAGGCTCTGGCACAGTTACTAAACTCCATAAATTTCATCCATTGCAAGAGTTAACCTAAGATGATTTCGATAAACGAGTTCAGTTTTGTGAACAAATGACTGCAGCGATTAATGATAATACCGTTCTTGTAAAGAATATCTGCTTCAGTGATGATTGGACATTTTATCAAAATGAGTTTGCTAATAAGCATAACTGCAGGTACTGGAGCAATGAATATCCTAATGCTTTTGTAGAAGTGCATACCCAGTACCCCCAAAAAATTAATGTTTGGGCAGGCATTTTAGGAAACAAAGTGATTGGGCCATTGTTTATTAATGGAAATTTGATTGGAGACACTTATTTGGATATGTTGGAAAAACCAAATAGAATAGGATGGAAACCCTATACGTGATAAGGCTGAAATATAATTCCAGCTAGACGGCGTTCCTCCTCGCTATGTTCTTCCGGTTCGGCAATCGCTAGACGGCGAGTTTCCAGATAAATTGATAGGGCGAAGAGGGCCTCTGGAATGGCCCGCTAGATCTTCTGATTTGACGCCAATAGACTTTTTTCTATGGGGCCATTTGAAATCTATTGTGTTTACCCCCCTACCTGAAAGTTTGGATGAACTTCGTCAACACATATATCGAAAGCTGACATGATATCCCACATGTTTTTAAAAGTGTCTGCCAGGAATTTGAGCGCTTATTGAAATAAAAAGTGACATCTTCGTGTGTTTTGTTTTCTATCTGAATAAATTAAGATAAATAAAGACTTTTTTAATTTTCTTGAAAACGAATCGACCGATTTAAAAAATCAAATGTCAAAATAAAGGACTTCGAAAGACTTTTCAAACAAGCTATTACTCGACACCCCTTGTCATTTAAAATTTTTAAAGGGATGACCCTGGGGGAAGAGGGTCAAAGGGGGTGAAGTAGTGTTTGGTTAAAAAGTTGTCCCCCTTGACAAATCTTTTGACTTGCCTCGGCGTTTTTTCTTTTAATCAGTGGTTTCCGATAAATCCGTGGTGGTAGGTTTTCAAATGAACACCCTGTATAAGGTTACATGGAAATCAACCGACACTGACAAAATAATCAGTAAATACTGATGGTGAAGACTACATTAAATAATGATTGTGTGACATTATTAAGCGAAGTTTTGAGTAACTCAACATACTAGGTAATATCCGATTTGTTTAAAAGACGGTACCGTCTTAGTAACAACACTCACTAAGAATAAACTCTTACTATCTCAACAGATGATAATAATACTCGTAATAATAATAATAATAACAATAATAATAATTCCGACCTTATTAATTTTGAAAATTTAAAAATCATGAAAAACCCGAACATTTTGAAGATATGGAATAATTTTAATATTCTGAATACTGAACATTTTGAAAATCCTGAAAATTTAGCAAGTTTGAAAATCTTGTGAATTAAGAAAATTTAGAAAATTTAAAAACTGTACATTTTGAAGATTGAAATTTTGAAACATTGAAAATTATGAACATTTTGGAAATTCTGAAAATTTTAGAACTCTTAAGAGTATTGAAAACATTGCAAATTTTGAGAGTGTTTAACATTTTAAAATTTGTATAATCCTGAATGTTTGTAAAATTACGAAAATTGAACATTTTGAAAATCTGTCTCTCTGTAAAGTGCAAAAGTTGAATCTCCACTTGGGGGTGAGTTATATTCATTTAAAATCTGAAGAAAGATAAACCTTCAGTCGGATCTCAACCCTCAAGGACTATACACGTGAGATTAGGCTTTTTCAGTTGAAATTCAGATCTGAAAGAATAGTGTTAGATAATGGATAATTTAAGGTTCTATCTAAAAAATATCCTATAATATCCTATACAAAATACAAATAATGCATTGTACTCACTTTGGAGGCGTCTTCGTGGAAGATACGTTGGTCTGCTTCAAGCCATTCACCTCAATGACAGTGACAAAAGTCCCGGGGTCTGGGTCAGGTGGTGCAGAGGGTTCGAACTTTTCTGGATCAGAGGGCGTCAACTGCTTGGAAATCTCGTTGACGCACATGTTTGCAGAAAAGTTCTCTGTGTCTTCTACGTTCAGGGACACCACTGATTGTCGATCGTTGTTGTCGTGCTGAAAATGATTATTCGTCTTTCCAGTTATAATTGCAACATGTATGGAAACAAAAGAATGTAATTGCATGTAAACAAGTGCGTGATTATGTAATTGCCGTCTATGATTAAAAATGGAAAAACTTGCACTTTCTTAGATGCATACAAGCGTTTTTAACGATGTTTTTATAAAATTGTGGTTCTTAAGAATCGAGAATTCTTCCGTCCATTGCTGATGCTTACGGTCGTCAGCTTCGAAATCTACACGCCCGGTTTAGACAGGATCACAGATTGATTCATAGTAAACTACAAAATACTATAGGGCAATATTTTTATTCTCATTACCTGTAATTACAAGCAAACAATGTTTTGTACACTTAGCCAAATTTTTTGTGATGAATCGCATAATTATGATCGCTAAAAAACAAAGTGTAGGGGGACTGAACTGGAGGTATATAAAAAGGATCCCTTGAGGAGCATCATTCGTCCTAGCATCAAGCTGACATCAAATTTGGAACCTACATACTATACATGAACTTATAGGTATGTACACGACTCTACTAAACATCAGTAATAGAGCTCCATCATGTTTAATGCAGTTGAGATTCAAAAAATAATAAAGAATAAAAAATGAAAGATCTCAGATCAGGGACATGTTGCTTTACAGTTTATGACCTGAACCAATCAGTTTTCTCTTCAAACAGTCTACAGATATAATGTTCACATAAATCCCCTAGTCAATATAGCAAACCCATAATTAATGTCATACAAACTGTGGGAATAGAACAACTGCAGCTGTACTATTAATATGAATAATAAAAATATTAGTAAGTGTGTGCTATATATATAACAATAGGAATACTGTATATTTCATATTTAAAACATAAATAGATATGTATAGCTTTTTAATGAATTCAAGATGAAAGGCTGACCTTCTAAACACATATACAGATGTACATATGATTACTACAAATGGAATGATCTAATAACAGTACAAGCAAAAATATGTTCAGCCTCAAATAACTATGATTACCTTCTCTTTAGCTTCCTCATTCACCACATTTCTAATAAACAACTTATAAACTCATTTAACCTTTTGACAATCATAAATCAAAATTTAAAAACTACTGCATCCAACAGCATCTCTAGAAATAGATGTTTTTATGTATCAGAATTAAGAGAGAGTAGCACATTTACTGTATTATATCAGATGAGTTTCATTAAAATTAATTACATGATCTTTGCTGCAAAAACATATGAATTCAAAAAAATTATTGATGCATTTGGTATAAGAGTCTTAGGTGAAAATGCCACCACTGTTGTGTAAAAGTTGAGGTACGTAGATCATAGTAATAGTAATAATAGTAATTTTTTGTTTTGCGTATTGATAAGAGGCATTTTGTTGTGAAAAACAACCTCAAATGTGTGTCATAACAATATAATAATGCTCTATCTAGAATTTTATTAACCACAAAGATGTTTAAATTAATAATAGCATAGTCAAGTCATCATTGATTAGTTTATAAATCTGTTAGACCTGGCAACCTAGAAACTTGAACATATCACAGGAAATGTGGAAAGAAGGTTGAGACAACGCAAAATACAAAGATGAGGTAAGGGGAATTTTGCAATTGTTCAAATAATTCTGTAAACTTTGGTATTGTAACATGCATAGTTGTAATTCCTTCTTCCTACAGCAAAATTAAACTTGTATAATATCTGTTAAATAGATGTGTAAATCTTGTTCGGTACAAAGGCAAGTATTAGGAGTAAGTATTGATATAGAATCTATAGTGCAGAGGGCCTAACATCTTTGGTCAGGGGTTGGAAAGAGATATTTAAAGTACAAATCTGTCAAAGTGACCAAACCCGAGCGATACGTATTTCTGCTGGTTGGCTTCATCAGGCCTGAAATGAATGCACATATGCAACTACAAAAGTAGATACACATGCCCATACATCCGGATACGGGTGTAACCTGTGGAAACAATGATGTAGAGGGAAAAAATGACACAGTAAGTCCACAACAAAGCCAGCCTACACATTGTAGTATAAAATGGCCAGAAGACATCGAATTTTCAAGTCGACAACTAACCACAACCATGCGGCCGGTTATAGCCACTTGCTTTGGTACTTCCAACCCAAAAGGTCTACAAAGAGAAAAGGATCATGCGGAGAATGAAAGAAGTAGAAAAATAATGAGCAAAATCCGCAAAAAGAACGAAAGTGAATTCGAGCGGAAAAAAGGATAGGTGACCCGAGCGTTACGTATGTCTGCTGGTTGGCTTCATCAGGCCCGAAATGAATGCAAATATGCAACTACAAAAGTAGATACACATACATCCTGATACGGGTGTAACCTGAGGGGCTCTTCTGGTCATTTTATACTACAATGTGTAGGTTGGCTCGTGTTGTGGACTTCGTGTGTCATTTTTTTCTTCTCCATCTTTATTTCCTCAGGTTATACCCGTATCGGGATGTATGGATGTGTATCTACTTTGGTAGTTGCATATGTGCGTTCATTTCGGGCCTGATCGCTCAGGTTACCTATCCTATTTTCTGCTTGAATTCACTTTCCTTCTTTTTGCGGATTTTTGCCCATTATTGTTCTATTTGTTATATATATATATATATGTGTGAGCAGTAGTCATTGCCAAAGCCAACGACCAGTTGAGCACAAAATACAATTAATTGTTAATTGGGAAATTGGGAAATTTTTAAGCTTAAGTTGACTGCTGCAACCTCAACGACGAGTAAGTTGTTTGACAATTTAAATCTGTCCTATTTTCTTTGCTAGCATCACAATCGTGTTTTCAGAATCCTGATGAAGGCCCCATAGAGAATGCCGAAAGCTTGATTTTATCGTCAAAAGAGTCAACTTAAGCCTAAAAATTTGCCAATTTCCCAATTAACAATTAATTGTATATATATATATATATATATATACATAAACATGGCCCTTATAGCTAATAATGATTCTCTTTTAGCCTGTAGCTTTAGGTGAAAAATGCCAAAAACACAATTTTCACGTTCAATCCCTCCGACGGGTCCGAAGATGTCTACATGGCCGTATACCTACTAATGAAAGGAACATTTCTAATTCATGTTTTAGCCTGTAACACTTTTTTGCATAGGTAGAAATTGCAAAAAACGCATTTTTGACGTTGAAGTGGCGGAATCAATCCCTTAGACGGGTCCGAATAAGATGGGATCTACATGGCCTTGTAGCTACTAATGAAGGAACACTTTTGATTTTCACGTCCACAGGGTGAAATCAACCACTTCGTTGGGTCCGACGAAGATGGGATATACATGGCCTTACTAATGAAAGGGACACCTTTGGTTCATTTTTACCCGGTAACTTTATTTCTGGCTAGGTGAAACATGAAAAAAAAACACATTTTTCACGTTCAATGATGGGTACGACGAAGTGACCCAAAAGCTAGTTACTAGTAAAACACTATTCATTTATTTTTGGTCTTTTTTTATACCGAAGCAGCCGTGCAAGCAGAACCCTAAATGCCGGGACACCGCGGCTGCTATGAGGAGCCTAAAGAAATTTTGTTAATCCGATTTTTGAACTGCCCAAGGTCGTATCGGTCAGTTCTGGATGTACGAAGTTCGACACAGTTAGGATGGGAATCCAAAGTCAGGCGGGTCTGTCTGGCAGGCCCATCGCGCGGCGGCATCATGGAAGTGAGTTCTGAGGAGCAAAGTCCGTTGGTGTAACGGTAGAAGAGAGCTAGATCTCCGACAGCCCGCCGGTGCGAAAGGCTTCCGACTCAGTTTGTTAGAGAAGGGTCGTCGATCAGTCGGACAGCCCTCCTCTGGACAGCATCGAGCATAAATAATGTAGTCGGGGCGGCAGCACCCCAAACGTGTGTGCAATACTCGAGGCTAGGCCTTATCTGAGCCTTGTACAGAGTCAGAAGGTCATGTGGAGAAAAGTACTTCTTAGCCCTAAACAAATACAGTAGCTTTTTCCCAGCAGCTGCCGCTATTGACGGTGATCGGGACTCCGATCAGCCGAAGTGAACAGCTCTTTGGGAGAACTCAGCCATCCATCGAAACGGGATGAGCGCTAGGACGCAAGCATTGATAACCCCAGGTCTCTCGTCAGAGAGGAAGTCGTCGCTAGTCTTCTCTTTTCCATCTGAGAGGCAGAGATCGGCTTGTCACTCTGAATTCCTGCATGCAGAGTGTTGTCACCGGCACAGCTGTCGATTTGGGTTGATCGTACAGGAAAGGAGGTCGTTGATATGTAAGAGGAACAGTGTCGGAGCCAAGACTGATCCTTGGGGAGCACCCGCGTTGACGTTGTGGGATGAAGATTAGAACGTTATCTTGCGGCCAGAGAGAAAGTCAGCCACCCATCTGCAAAGCTTTTCTGGGAGGCCATACGATGGAAGTGTACATAAGAGGGCAGCGTCCCATAGCTGATCGAACACCTCGAAGAGCAATGACATGACCCTCACCATAAGACTGGGTGAGTTTAGCCCACAATTGCATGACGTAAGCTAGGATGTCTCCTGTGGATCGCTGGTGCCGGAAATCATACTGAACTTAAAAGAACTGGGGCAACCTCCGCTGCACACCTATTCAGTACAATTGCAGGAATCAGGTCCGGACCAGAAGCTTTGTTGATGTCGAACGTCAAGAGCACCCGTCTTACAGTCATGCCTGAATGTTACTTCCCGCATAGTGTAGGAAAAATCTTTAAATCAACGGTACTTGGGCGTTGGGGGGAAGTCCATGGTCGAGTTGGCAGCAAAGATCTTGGCAAGCATTTCCGCCTTGGCCTTTGAGTCTGTTACAATGGTTCCATCCTGACGCGTAAGTGGTGGAAGGCTACTGTGCGAGAAGGTCCTTTCGATCTGCTTGGCCAGCGTCCAAAAGACTGACTGCTATTGCGCTACGACATGAGCCTGTGCCTAACCTATATATCGTCTTTGCATTGCGAACCGCTTCGTTATATTTGTTTCTGGACACGACGTCGGCTTGTCCGTTCTCTACTGTTTTGTAAGAAGGCTATGTGTGCCTTGATCTTCTGCTGGCGAGCAGTGTCACACGATTTGCTGAACCAGCCGTTGGAGGTCTGGTTTAGGCACTTTCACTGTATCAGGGATGTATTCCTCCATCCCGACGTGGATAATTTCGGTTATCGAAGAACAGACAGCCGACGCATCCGCGTCAGCAAAACAAACATCTCTCCAAGGAAAGGTAGAGAAGAAGTCTCTTAGCCCCTCCCAGTCGGCATATCCGTAATGCCAAATTTTGCGGCCTGGGCGAGTTTCTGCTTCCACAGCGGGTTCTGACCAAAACCTAACCTCCACAGCACTGTGGTCTGAGTTGAGAGACAGGACAGCAGTGCTGTAGGGGACATGATGCATGATCTAAAAGAGATCTAGCAGGATACTGGCATGAGACGAGACGCGGGGAAAAAAGTAGGACTAGTCACCAGCTGGGTCAGCCCCTTGGTAAGAGCGAATGCTTCAACTGCACGACCTGCTGCATCGGTCTTGTTTGAGCACAACCGAAGCTCATTATGAGAGTTGAAATCACTGAGGAGAACTACCTCTGAAGCGGGGTGATTGATTTTCATAAAGTCGATCTTGACGACGAGGTATTCAAGTAGGTCATCCCAGTTATGGTCCGAGGGAAAGCGATAAAGGCAGCAAATAAATTTGGGAGATGTTTTGGAGTTGAGGCGAAGTCACAGAATGTCTTTCCGATCTGATTCCAAAGAAGCATGCTGCTGTGGACAATAGCCACAACTTCCCCGTTCTTGCTCAGATGGGAATGCACCTGGTAATTTGGGTAGCTAAGAAAAGCATGACAGGACGATTGGATTGCAGGTAGTGATGAAAAGCATCAATGATGCTGCTAATCCTGCAAATGTTCATAAAACAAATTTTATCTTCGATGTTATTCCACCCTCCACCCGGACATTCCAAGAGTGGCGTGAGTTTACGACAGGAATTCTTAGTACTCGAGGGATCCATCATCATTAATTTCTTTGTTGGGGAAGATAACTGACTGTGTAGCTTAGGTGTGAAAACATGTGGACATTTATAAGACACTCTGGAAAAAGCTAGGAGGGAGACATAGAGCTCTGTCACTAAAATTAACTAAAAATACAATGCAATCATTAAAAAATCAGTAGTTAGGACAAAAAAATGACTACTGAAAATTGCCTGGTAACGAATGACCAGAAGAATTGGCTGCTATCTTCACACCCGTTTTCTGTTTATACACTAATTTCCTCATTATCCTATGTGTGCTATTGCAACTAAACATGGTGTCTTCTCAGTGTAGACAATCTGCTGTGATATGAAGAAAATGTCAGACATGAAATTTCACAGTTTAGCATATTGTAACCATAAAATGCAGGGCCAAACATTCTTGATTGCTGAATAGCTACTGATGCTGTATCATCAGTCATTCCTACAATAGTAGGATGCCATTATGGCCTCCGTGATTTTCATAGTATTTTCTATCCTTCAGGTAGGCTAGAATATTTGGAGCTTTCTTCTGTTTCCATATCAGCCTCAGTACTCACCTATTGTCAGATGATTTAAACAAAAGCATGAGCAGTTTGATGCAAATAATTATTTGTAACATAACCTCAAAATAGAACAATGACTCGAAACATAGAAAACTATGAAAATCAAGGAGGCCATAAAGGTCTCCTACAATTGTTTGATTGACTGATGATAGGACCCTAAGAGAGTGAGAATTTCAAGATGACTTGCATAGATAATATGATACAAATATATCATCATTGGTTCCACTCCCTGATGCTGTTTTGTATAGCCAAAAGAGATTCTAATGGAGCCTCACCAGATACTATTTTGATGGATATAAGCAAGGTCTTGCTCTAGTAGCTATTTTACATCAACAATTTCTTCAAGCTCATCCTGTGTTTTCTGGTGTTTCCATCAATAGACAAATTCATGAATTATCTGTCCACAGTGCTGCCAACCACACATCAAATTTTGAGTCTTTATTCTATCAAAGTTCTTTACATAAATTGAAAGAAGAAATATAATGGAAAGCAAAACACTTGGCAAAAATTAGAACATGTTCTAATTTCATGAAGAAATCCACAAATAACTCCATGTATTTATTTAAAATGTAAAATTCCTGTTTTTACATATTTTAGTTATTGCTCAATTTAGACTACTATCAAAGTTTCAGTCTGACTATCAGTGTATGTAATTGATAAATGAGCAATTAAATTGCAAAGAAACCATAAAATTTTATGTCAGCCACTTTAAAAATTGTTTTATCTCACTCTTTATTCTTATTCAAATATATTCAGAATGTTAACTGCAAAAGTGTAAATAAATATGATTCTTCCTTTCCAGGTATGCTCTGAAAAAGTCAACAAACGGATCTTACAAACAATAACATTCACTTGATATGGTTTGGCAGGATTAATCATCATTTTGCACTAATTGGTCACAATTATTTTGCATCTCACACATCCATGAATAGCCACACCTTATACAGTTACTTAAAGCGTGCTTTATTGTATATAAAAAATAAACAGTAGGAACAGGTGCTTTATGTTAAGTTTTTGTGAAGAGAGGAGATGAATGGTGTATATTTACTTTAGATATGCTATCTGCAATGACATCACATGTATCGTCAGGCTCGCCACTCTTCTCTTTGGCCAACTTCTTCTTGTGCTGCTCTACATCGCTGAGCAATCGCTCCAGATACTCTACGTAAAACTCCTCCTTTTCGAGTTCTTCCCGGAGAAGTAGAACCTTCTGTTTGTGCTTAGCAAGGTTCGCTCTGACGTCCTCTTCCCAAGCGCCTGGAAGGGGGCTCTCTGGGAACCTTTGGAGCCATACCTGCTGGAAATCGCCGAATACGCTCATTTCTGTCGATCACCTCACATTCTTTATGCTGGAAATTCGATTACGCCCTGCAGTTTCACGCGAAAAAATCGAAAACAAACATCTTTTTGTGCAACATCCACTTTCACTGACAACCGTCCACTGACAGATGACAGAGGAGGAAAGCTGTCACGCGTAGCGGCGCGGCGTTGCCATGTTGTATTGTTGAGTTTCCTGTATTTTTCTTCATTTGGTGAATCAGTGAATGATCGCTAGTATCATTGATTAAGTAATTTTACCTGACGATAGAAAAACCATATACTGCATTCCGGCACGGTATTACGTATCCTGAAACGTGACATTAGATCGTTTTTTTTTGACAGCGTAGGTTTTTTTTTGCTTTAACTTAGGTTTTTCTACAAGATGTTAACTTAGAAGTAACTGATGGACACTTGTTGTTAACCCGTTTTGTAGTTGTACGTATTGCCTAAACGTCATGATGCTTTAGTTATTCATGTTTGGCTCTGATGTGATGTAACATCTGCTTCAGAGATGGCATTATTGGAGGTCTAAAGCCGCGTATACATATGCGAGCCGAGCCGTTCGCGAGCCGCTCGTGGCCCGCTCAAAAACTGTTCCTTGAAACTATTTTTACAACGAACATCCAGCGATCCATGGAATAAAGCCGAACCAGCCTCAAATCACCAGCGGATACGGGTCTGTGCACAATCATGTCTTCGTCCGAGGAAATTTACTCAATCATGGTAATGAGTTGTGCGGCTTCAGTAATTGGTAGTTTGTGCAAGAATAAGAGGAAACAAACGTGTTGGTGGCATAGTGATTTATATAAGAAACACAGTGGTATGATGGTCTTGAAATCACAAGAAATGAGCGGCCTATATAAAAACTTTACGCGAATGCCGCCTACTGATTTTGAAAATCTTGTGCTGAAAATTGGCCTCCAAAAGGAGGAAACATATTTTCGCACTTCCATCCCCGCTCAAGACAGGTAAGTAGTCAGACTGCGTGTTGACCAGTTTTCTACTTTTCCACACTTATTGCTATATTTTAGTATGTTCTGTAGAAACGGGATTTTTTTGACGATACTGCTTCACATTTATCCTGATTTTTCAGAATTATAAATACAGGTATCGGTGTGAAAATGTTTCTCGTCCGACCACTCTATATTCGAAAATAATGCTTGCGAGCAGCACAACGTCCCAGAAACACGTCCCAATATGAATTGCGAATCCCTTTGTGTTCGTCAGAAAAACCTACAGGACGCGGTTCGCAACATCCGGCTCAATAGCGGTTCGTGAGCGCGTAGTCCGGTGCTATAAATCCCGTCCCAATCATACGAACTAGCAGTTCGCAAGCGGCTCGCGAACGGCTCGGTTCGCATATGTATACGCGGCTTAAGTTGTAATTTGTATAATAGGGTTGTCCAATAGGGACGCAGAAAAGTAAACGTCAATTTGACATAGACGCCATCTTTGTTTTCTGTCACCGACATGTCATTTTGTTAGTTGAATGTTTACCATTGATCGCTATGGAGTCGTATTCGATTGAAGATCGCATTAAAGTTATTCAAGAGCACTACAAAAATGGTGCAAAAATATAAAAAACACGTTTCGCGCGTTTCGTGAACATTTCGGTCGCAACAACCGCCCAAACGAAATAACCGTCGGTCGTCTGGTGCGTAAATTCGAGGCAACAGGTTCTGTGGCAAATCTGCCAGGCTCTGGCCGGCCAAGGAGCGTTCGCACACGGGAAAATATTGCTGTTGTGAAGGAGAGTGTGAGAGACGTTCCGAAACAATCAACAACGCGTCGATCCCAAGAATTGGGCATTTCGAGAACCAGTTTGCTCCGCATTCTCCACAAGGATTTGAATGTACACGCCTACAAGATCCAATTGACACAAGAGCTGCGTCGGGCCGACCATTTTTCGCGCCGAACGTTCTCAGATTGGCTCCTTGAACACCGCCAAATTGATGCCAATTTTTCATCAAAAATCATGTTCAGCGACGAAGCGCATTTCACTTTGAATGGGACGGTAAACCAGCAAAACTGCCGCATCTGGGCGACCGAAAATCCCCGTGAGTATAAAGAGCAGCCGATGCATCCTCAAAAAGTGACTGTGTGGTGTGCATTGTGGTCAAAAGGCATCATCGGACCTTACTTTTTCGAAAATGCGGCCGGGGACGCCGTTAGCGTCAATTCTGAACGATATCACGTGATGATAGAGGACTATTTTTTGCCGCAACTTGAAGGAATGGATATTGACGATGTTTATTTCCAACAAGACGGTGCAACATGCCACACAACCAACGTCAATATCCATCGATTGCAGTCCTTCTTTGGTGATCGCGTGATTTCGTGCAGAGGAAATGTGCCATGGCCACCAAGATCGTGCGATTTGACTTCGACTTCTTTTTATGGGGATATTTGAAAAGCAAAGTCTACGTCAACAAACCAGCCACCCTTCAAGAACTCAAAAACAACATCATTGCCGAGATAAATGCCATAGAACCGACCATGTTGCAAAATGTCATTGAAAATTTCGACCATCGCGTGGACGTCTGTAAATCCAGTCGTGGTGAACATTTGAGCGATATTATTTTTCATACATAAATGGTATAAATGAACCTTCAAAATAAAGTACCCAACTTGATTTAAATATCAATCTTTCTTGTTTTAATATGCGTTTACTTTCCTGCGTCCGTTTTGGACAACCCCATACAACTGGAAGAAAATGGCATTGCATAGAGGCATAGTGAGGATTTGTGTTATATATGATAATATGTGTTAGTGATAATGATAATGATGAAGCTTCAAAGCTAGAAATTAGTTGCATTTTCTTATTTATTCTGGAAATTACCTATGAAAATTTGCTGAATTTAAAAAATGAGACAGATAAAAAAAGAAAATATCTGGCTGGTGAAATAACAGGTGAGAAAATATGTTATCGACAGGAATATTTGTAAAAGTGAAACGGTTATTACATAATTTTTTATTTCCAGTCATTTAAATTTAGTAGAAATTTATTTTGCGATTTCGATAGAAAATACAAATCAGCGCCTAGATGTGAGGCACTGCGAAAATGTTTGGAGTGTTATGCGTCATTTCTAATTTTTCTGCGACGTAGATTAATTGCACACAACGCGGGCGCGGTGGCGATTTCCCGCAATTCTCAAAGTTTTTAAAAACACAAAAAACGGGAAAAATCGACATTTATAATTTTGAACATAACCTGTCTTTAGAAAGACAACATGTAAATAACCTGTCGAGCACAGCTAAGGAGATAATAGATATACTGTACTGGCAGCATATTCAGTAATAATTTTCTCACATAGCAAATATCATTGACTTTATACACATGTAGACCAATACACATAATCATCTAGATGCAATCTTGCTATTGAACCAGCTTTCTTTTTTTCATATCTTCTCATAGATAAACACTATAGACTACTCCGCTTCACAAAACATATACTTGCTTTCTGCAACCAACAATGCATATAGTTCATTCATTCATAGAAGGATCATATCAAGGAAACATGGAATGAACTATTTACACCCTAAAAACTGCCTAGTCGGCAAAATGACATTTCGTTGTTTTTATATGTTTTATAGGTTTTTTACATAATAGCCGTGCTGTACCCAATAAGGTATCTGAAAGTCTAGCACCATCTATGAGACAACAGCATAGCACACAAATGAATTTAGAAATCACTTTTGGTCCTGCTACTGTCTCACAGATGGCGCTACGATCCCCAGTAGCTTTCTGGCGCCTCTCTAATACCTCTATTTTACACCTGGAGATACCCAATTAAAATATTCATCAGATAACAAAAAAGAGATTGAAATATTCCTAGCGCCATCTATGAGAGAGTAGCCTAAAAAGTCATTTTAACTTCTAAGGTAGTCGTCCATATTCATATTAGAACTACTGTCTTATAGACGGCGCTGGTATCTTTCAGATCCCCTTTTTCAACGCCAGAATATAGGATATGTTTGGCTATATTCAGGTAGAATACGTTAATGAATGGCGATATATAGGTTGTTTAAAGGAAAATGAGACAGAAATTCAATCGATTTTTAACTATCGTAAGGTATATTTCATTTTTGATGAACTTTGGCAATTATTTTGGTGTTTCCATTCAGAATATCAATAAGTTATTCCAAAGTTATTTAGGGGAAATAAATACAAAGCTATGGGGAGCTCTATAACTCCAAATGTTTTAATCGAAATTCTTTGAAGTTGCCAGACCTGTCATGCTCAAACCACATATTTTCTTTCTTTCACTTTTCTTTTAATTTGTGTAGCACAACCACTGCATTGTAGCTTGATTGATGTTTCCTCCTTTTCGTCACATTCAAAACTGCAATGATACGGTTTAATTTTAACTCTATGTTCGGCCGTAATCCTGGCTTTTACAATACAGATATCCCGTCCTCTTTTTAACTGCACATAACCAATCGCCTCGTCCTCATAGGTGACTACGCCAAAATTCAAACAATAAATTACGTCTTGTCATCTTGAGCGCTAAGGATGTATGCGATGTGCCGTCGTGTCGTCCGACCGCTGCACTATGACGCGCGACGTTCCGTCATGTGACGTCACTACCGAACCTCGACGCGCAAGGCCAATCGGCTACAGCAGCCAACACAGAAAATGCCATAAATTCCTCAAATTTAAAGTTATTGGAATAATTCTTTCAGATTTGTCAAAGATACTAGTTATATTATCAAATGCAAGTAACACAGGCAGTATTTTCGACTGTAGAAAACTTCCTAATTCTTCAACTCCCTCATTTATAGAAATAACATGGACAAAAATTAGTGCCTTGTTTTGGCTGATATCCGTAATTGGTCACAAGCTGACAACGGCGCAAAGTGCACTCATTATATCGTCCACCGTGCAGTTTTCTTTTTTGCCTTAGATAATTATTTTTTGCTTGAACGCTCTGATGCTTGCTATCGTGTGGCAATCCGATCAAGCAAGGTTATTAGGTTTGTAGAAAATAGCGCCGTGTCATGCATCTTACGGATATTTAGAAGAGGATTTCACTGACCATTGTTTATTTAATAAAACTCATTTACTCACTATTCGTTTAACCAGCAAAGTATAGATGTCGCTGTTATTTGATAGAGATAGAGACAGAGAGGATCTCCAAAATATTTGGAAAGGCTGAATTCAAATTTTAAATCACTGGGATTAAACAAAACTGTTAAATATATTATATTGCTTTAATTACAACATTCAGGCTTCTCAATCAGGAATAATAATACCTACTTAGTAGGAATTTTATCCCATGATTTATAACGACATAAGTCAAAAATTCCAAAACATTGATGGTGTTACAATGTGCATGTTACATTTTTGTATACGGTTTTCAGAATTCTCTGTGTGTAAAATTCAGTCTTATACGGGACCTGAGAAACAGCTAGATACTCAATATAATGTAAATGTTCGTACACCATGGGAAAATTAACATACCCCATAATTCTAGATAAAGAATACAGACACATAACGGGAACCGCGTTTCAACTGTTCGTGATAAGTGTTTTAAAGCGCTGGCGAAGCTTGCGTTTGTGCGATGTACATAACGCTCCTACAGCACCGTCATAGATCAGGAAATGTATTCAGTATGTTATCAGAAGTTATGCCCAGCTAATAGCGTCCCATCATTGATTCTCGTGTATTCTACATAAAGATAGCCAACCATATACTGTATTCCGGCATCCAAAAAGGATTTTGAAGTACGCTAGCGCCATCTATGAGACAGTAACAGAACACAACTATTAATTTAGAAACCTATTTTGAAAATAGCTAGTTATGCGCGCAGAATTCAGAGGGGGAGAAAATATAACTTCTATGTAGGGATGTTTTGAGGGCACATGCGCCCCGTTGTCTCCCATAATGGGCGTGTTTGGTTCTGCTACTGTCCCCTAGATTGCGCAAGTATCTCTAATTCTTTGTGATGCCTTTCTAATGCCTACTTCTATTTTGTATCTTCAGGTGGATCTTTACTTAACCTCTTAACCGGTTATGAATATATTCTATTTTGAACATGACGAGTATATTCGTGGAATCATTTTTGATGGCCCCCTTCATGGATATGCCGAATATTCTCACCATTTTTACGTTCGGCTCATCCATTTGCAGTATTATGAAATTAGTGTTTACTCATATAAGATTTTACTGAAAGTTTTTTCTCGTTGCAAACGCGTTGAATACATTGTGAAACATCAGATGAATATGACGAGTAGTAGTACTCTGATTTTGCAGACAGTTTTTCTGATGATTCGTGTCAAATAAGGAAAAGCCTGCCAAACGATGTCCCATATTTCATGAAAATTAAATTCGAAAAGGGTCTAGATACTGGTGTTTTTTTAATTATTTATCACTTAGCTTGTGATGATACAGAATCGTACAGTATTTTTTGCCTATTTTTCTAAACGATTTACCTTTTTGTTTCTTTTTAAAACATATATGCCAAAATAAATAAAATGAATGTTTACCTATGGTTTCCTTCAGTTTTGGTTAGTTTTTTTTAGTCTACGAACATGACGTATGTAGGTACTCGCAAGAGGCAATTTTAGCGCCCGTACGATGGGAACGCATTAACATTGGAGTGCCAGGTTAAGAGGTTAAAATGATGATGGAATGTTTATGTATAAATAATTTTATTTAAAAGGAAGATGCGATAATATTTGGCAACATTGCTGAGCGATGAAAAGTGTATATGAATGTCCAAATACTGTATAGGGTGCATCTGTGGAATAATAATAATAATAATAATAATAATATAGGTATACATATGTATCTGTATTCAAAAGGAACTCAACAAGATATGTTTGTTATTGCTGGTTTCCAGTTTCTACCTTCATTTTACATATATTTGGTTTCCTGCTTTGAAAAGGCTACCACCTCTGGGTCGTAGTATTTGCTCATTATATGACTCAGCATTGATAATAATAATGCGCTTATCATCTGCAGAGTGTCTCACTATATAAAACTGCTTGGCCATTAATGGCATACTACTTCACCCAGGTATGCAATATACCATTTTATAACTGATTCATACGAATCTGTATGGAAATACATCATGATCATATTATGACATCGGACGTCCTGGCCTGCCAACATGGATTGGTACGATCTCAACCAGCAACAAGCGTTTTGTTAGTTTGCTGCTATAAAATTGCTATTGTTAGTTTTTTGTACCAGACTGCGGGCAATAACAAATTTCAATCAATCAAGAAAAATTCTCCCATCTGTACTTTTTAGGAATGTACTATCTACTATCCCTAGCCTATAACTGAAACCCGTTCCTGTTGATGGCCCAAACTCAAACGGTAGCACAACCAGACTATAGAGCGTCGAAGTTCGAAGGCAACGTGCTCTTGTCGAGTGTTTCTCTGTGATAGTTTGCGTGTTTTTCCGTTTGTTTCCGCCGATCTATCACATAAAACTACCGCCAATCTGCACAAAATCGCGCGAACAGTGTCGGTAGGATACCACGGATTTTTTCGACGTTGTGAGTGCGTGAATGTGAATTAGAAAGTGGTTCTCGACCTTACCGTAGGTAGTACCCAGTCAGGTAGGAAGCATAATCCCCTCTTTACCCTTTACTGCTGCGTTGTAGACTCGTTTAAATAAATATCCATCACTGTTTTGCCTGTTTACATTCCATTTTACCCTGATTCAAACAAGTGGTTTGGGATAATATCTTGTTTTTACTATAGTTTCTTTTGTTTATTTGCATGTGTCCGGTTGTCACTTTTCAAGGCATGTAAAAAATAATACTATTCCATTAATCCATAATAATTAGATTGTCATTAAGTAAATGCAGCAATAAGATGAGTTTAAGTTGGCACTTAAATAAATATAGGTTATACTCGTATTTATGTATTTGTGTTATGCATATTGCATGTTATGAATCGGTATCAGCTATTAACGTTATGAACAGAAACTAGATTGCTACGATTGATTTTGAAATTGATACCTTGTGTATTGGTATTGATTGTCACTTCCCACGCCTACTGGTGAGGAATTAGGTACTGTAATCGCGAAACATTTCGAAAATGAGATGTTTTTTGAATGTTTTATGACATGTACATCACGAAAAACCAGATGCAACTCATTTACGTTGATCTGTCTGTGGGTCTGTCCGCAAATCCTTGGCTAGTCTACCAACTTGGAAAGTACTGCTAGGATTTGGATGAACTTTTTGCACAAGGTTGCGACTATGCCAAGGGCGAAAAAACTTTAGTTTCTGAAAATCAGTCCAGTGGCGGTGGAGCAAAATGCCAAACGAAAAAAATGCAAATCTCTCAAACCCTCAGACTCCAATTTGTTGATGTTAATAGACATATTTCAAGCATTCATGCATCATAAATTTTCCCTTGAAACTTTGAAAAATATTTTCAGCAACATGCACATACGAGAAGGGCCCAACATTATAGCAAGAGTAAAATTTTATAAGGTTACTTATTTTGTGAGGCAATATGATATAGTATATACAGGATGTCCAATAAGTACCACGACAAACTTAAGTAGAAGGTAGGCTTTGGACTGACCTCCCAAATAACAAAAACTTACCGATATAAAAGTGTCACCGTTTTTGAGATATTGAATTTTTTCTTAAAACTTAAAAAATTAGCCTTTTCATCTGTGGTCTTTAGCTGCATGTACAAATAAGCTTATACTTTGTTCAATTTATCTATAAAATACTTCTAGATAGTTACTTTATCATATAAAAATGCAATGTAGTTAAAAGATATTAAGGAACCATGATAAAATAAGGACTGCTTTGGGATTTATATCAGAATGTTATAAATCCCAAAATAGTCCTTATTTGATCACGGTTCCTTAATATCTTTTAACTACATTGCATTTATATATATGATAAAGCAACTATCTAGAATTATTTTATATAAAAAATGAACAAAGTATAACCTTATTTGTATATGCAGCTAAACACCACAGATGAAAAGGTTCGTTTTTTAAAAATTTAAGAAAAAAAACAGCTTCAAAGAAATGAGGCTGGAAGTATAGAGTCAATCTACTTGACGCCATTTTTTAGGGGTATTGATTTTTATTGAGAGTGCAGTTTGCGGGTGAATGTAAGTATCATTCCGCTGGCATTGTTGAAATCTTCTAATGAAAAGTCTGCTTGACTATATTTTCGGCTTTAATTGATACATTGATTTTCATGTTGTACATGTATATTATACTACTTGGTGATTCCTAGTATAGATGATGTCCTGTTTCGGTTTCAAGGCCAAGGGTGTTGGTATAAGTTATACAGGGTGTGTCAAAAATTAATTTTAGTTTAGGCAGGAAGAGTTAATAATCGTAAGGATAAATGACAGA